ATGGATCTTTAACCGAAAATCCCCAAACAAACGGCCTGTACCCAGCGATGGAAGTTGCTGCAATTGATTCCGCCATGCTCACAAGATGCAATTACAAACACCTACAGCTTCAGAGCCCCCTTCGTCCTTCCAAACTCCAAGAAGAAATACCCTTGTTGTCCAATTGTAATGCGATTCCACAAGCCCTAATCCAAAACGCTAAACGATCAGAAGACCATAGCTTTTTCAGAAAGAACTGATAAATTTCAACCAAAAATAGGAAACCATTCGTCTCAATAACAACTACTATACCAGCCAAACTAAGCACAACCCAAGAACTCAGATATACGAAAGCTACCAAGTCCCAGCAACCCAGAATCCCCCAAATCCCAGAAAGAGAAAGCAAGTATATACAGTAATAACCCTCGCCAAATTAACAAGAAAGTCGCATCCTTTCAGACCAAATTAGAATCAAGAGGCGGAAATCTACAACGCTAATCTATGGATATCATACATACAGAGACAGAAGCACGGCAAATGGAAAGAAGAAAGAAGAAGGAGAATAGGGGTTATTAGAAACCTGGAAGCAGAAGATCAGGGAGAATTTTCGAGCAGCAGGAGGAAGAATCAATGGCGGAAACAGACAAGATTCCTTCTTCGTCGACAGAAAGAGGGGGGAATGATGGGATGGGAATGGCTTATGGATATGGGAAATGAATCTGTGTGGGTGAGTTTTTGGTTTGTTGGAGAAGGAATCGGAAGATGAATGCAGCAGCCAGCCAGGGGCTTTCTCTGAGACTTTTATTTCTGATCTTTATTCCTCTTTTTCCCCCTACTTTTCTGTGGCTTATAATTACAACAACAAAATGAGGAATTTGACGGGCGAGGCCGGTGGAGGTGATCATAGTGATGGACACGTGGCTGTTAAATGAAGTCCACACGTTGCCTTGATTCTTTCTTTCGTTTGCGAGAAACTTCCTTCTCCATGATGATTTGCATTTTGATTGTAGTGGATGTGAAACCCTTTCTCAAAAGAAGTTGGAATATAATTATATAAGTCAATGATATTGGACCGTTGAGTTAATTAAGCAAAATATTTACATATTTTTCCTGGGTAATTTGCATTAGTTAATAAAGTGGGGACAATAATGTGAAACAAATAAATTATGTGCACATAGAAATATTTTATATGGCTCAAAAGATGTGCACTTATGGACCCATACGACCTAGAATGACTAATATGTTTCAAATGTGCTCAAATACACATTGATCTGACAAGTTTCAAGATCTTATTTTCGTTAACATGAACCACCTTCTTGTTTAGAACGTGATAAGTATTGTCAAACAATTATTTTATATTTCGAGATAACATATTATAAAAATACACAATTAATCATCTCCATCTGTCTCTTGTATCAAAATAAACAAGAACTAAATTTACGAGTAAACTCATTAAGAATTTTGTATTTTGTAACATATGAGAACTTTGTAACACATAGAAAGAAGTTCCTTTTAAGATCACCTCTGTTATATAGGCACAATTTACCACTAATTTCTCATATACATAACAATGTGAATTTGGATATTCAATGCTAAATTTTATACTATTGATTGAGGTGACTTCTAAGTCTTGACTCATTTATGTCATGATTGGGGATTAATATTAAGGGATAGGGTATGGATTTTTTGTTGGGTTTTCATTATGCAAGTTTGGCATACCTCTTTCTAGTGGGATTGACGACAATTTGATATGTGATTCAGTGGTGTTGTGTGAAGGGCCTAATTGAAATGACATTCCAAAGGATGCGAAAAGCTGTCATTAATAAAAGGCAAAATACACTTTCGTAGCCATAACTATTCGTGTTGTGACAAATATAGCCAGATTTTGAAAAATACACTCGTATAGCCACTTTTGAAAACTTGCTTGACAACTATAGCCATTGCCGTTACAAATTTTAACACCGTTAACTTTTTAATGATGTGGATATACATGTCATCAAATGTATACCACATGTCAGCCACGTGTCAGTTTAAATCATTATTTTAAATAATTTCCCTAATATTGTTTTGACCATAATTCTAATAAGAAGGAATAATCATTTAATTTTTTTTTCTCAATTCTCCTTTCCCCTTTTTCAATGGAGAGAGCAGAGAACGGGATCCGATCTCCAATCTCCGTCTGTCACTTTCCGATCTCCGTCTGTCGAAACCAGTTCCGGTGCTGAATTTCGTCGTCCCCTCGTCACTCTTCGTCCTCTCCCTACGACTTCGTCACTCCGACAGCTGCTTTGAAATAACGGCGACTATGGACGACTGGAGACTGGGGATCTTGATCTACGAATGGGTAAATAGAATAGTCTTCTCTCTCCTTCTCTCTCAACTCTCCGACTAGATCTACACAACAACCACTGCCATCTTCTGAAATACCACCACCAGCAGCACTTCTTCATCCTCAATCACAGTCGTCATCATCGTCTCCCTTTACCCCTGCAATGGAGATGAGAGTTGGGTAAGAGGAGAATAGCGGAAACAGAGGTAATGAGGAGCGGCGGTGGATCAAAGGGAGCGGCAGTGGAGGAGGATAGGCGGATGACGGACGATGGAGGGTTTCAGATTTGGGGATTCTTTTTTTTTTTTTTTGTTTTCCATGGTGATGGTTTCGTGAGAAATACAGGGTTCCCATCTGGAGGTAATGAGCTCTAACGGCCGGAATCGAGGTGAGATCTTCACGGCCGCTCTCTCCTCTTGTTGTTCTCCCTCTGCCACTGTCGTTGCCGTTCCGTCGGACATCATCCTTTCTTCTGCTCCTAGCGACGGTGCAGTCTAGAGTGGGATGGATGTGATTGACGAAAGGAGATCTGGAATGAATGAAAGGATTGATCGATAGAGGGAATGATGGTCTGATGAAGTTGTTGGGTTCGTTGACTGGGCTAGGTGAACGAAGAAGAAGAAGAGCGATGGAAGGTGGGGGATCTGGGAAAGTGGAATAGATGATAATTCATCTCTCTTTTTCCATTTTTTTTATTTTGTTTTTTTTCCTTCACTTAATAAAAATAGGTGTAATAGGGCCATATACACGTGACAAAGCTTTTGACAAAAATTTGCCACATCACACAAACAACCGTTTGTCTAGTCAGTAGCTGTGATACTGCCGTTAATTTTATAGACGGAATGGCTATACGAGTGTATTTTTCAAAAACTGGCTATATTTGTCACAACGCGAATAGATTTGGCTATGAAAGTGTATTTTGCCTTAATAAAATCAGGGGCTTCAAGGTTCGTGATAGAGGAGGATTAATTTTTTAGGAAATCGTTCGCCTCCGACAACATTATCGAACCTTCTCCATAGTATTTAGAGGTAGGCAAAGCAATCGAACGACTTATTTGATGGCTAATAAGGCTTTTTTTTTTTTTGTCAATGGTAGCGGTAACAATTCAGTCATAAACAGAAAAAAGAAGAGCGCGGGAGTCGACCAATCACCGAACTCCCGATGAGAGGGCATTTTGTGCCACAAGATGGGCGGCCCTATTAAGTCAGCGCGAGACAAAACAAAACGAAATCTAGCTGAATTGGGACGCCAACGCCCTTGCATCTTCCAGCACAGCACCACTCCGATCGTGAGGCAAATCACTCCTCACCATCCGTTGAATCAATTGTTGCGAATCCCCATGAAATTTGACATAAACAAAACCATGTGTTAAGCACCATTGTAAAACATCTCTGAGGGCTAAGCATTCCATGACAAAAGGATTAGATAGGCCGTCATAAGACTTGCCGAAGGCAAAGAGGATCGTACCTGCTACTTGGAAATCCACAAAACCAACACTGTCGCCTTGATCACGTTTAGCCGCCTCATCAAACCAAACATGAATGGTGTCTGGATGAGGGCGGTCTCCTGCCAATTCGTCGTTCCCAAGTCTGCCTGGGAACGAGGATGGAGCTGGCCCAGGTCCGCTGTGTTGATTAGGTGGCCTCGTCTGCTCTGCCTCCTTCCATTCATTCACATGTCGTTGAAGTTGTCGGAACAACGCCGGTGGTAGATACTGGATAAACGCATGGACCGACCAACATCTAGCCTTCCAAATTCGCCATAGGATAAAAACCACATCATCAATCTCGCTTTTGGACAGGTTCATACCAAAAATAGGTGCTTCCATGCATCATCCGAGGCCATTCCGCCAAGGGATGAGCAAAGTCCTTCACGGCCAGCAAGTCGCCATAAGCCCCTAGCTACCGTGCAAGCAAAAAAGAAGTGGGAGAAGGATTCCGATTGTGCGTCACATATCGGGCAGATCGTGTCGGAGACCAAAGTCTTAGTGAAGAGCACATATTGTAGAGGTAGGAAGCCGCGAACAACTCGCCAGAAGAAGAATTTCAGCTTCGGTGATAATGGCAGGCTCCAAAGCAATTTCCAAAAGCGGGTGTCAAAAGGGAGAATGGTCGGTGGATGGAAAAGATTGTGTTCAGAGGACAACAAATGGTAACTTGTCTTAACTGTAAACAATCCAAAGGGTGAATAGTGCCAGATCAATCTGTCATTCATGTGGAATGTGGGTAGGGGAATAGACAGAATAAGACTCACACATGCTGGAGTAAACAGAGCTTCCAAAAGATCCTTCTTCCACAGTTTCGAGCTAGGACATATAAGATCAGAAACAAATATAGGACAGGAAGGCGAACCTGGTTTCAACGTGGGACACGACGAGGGAGTGGATGGGAGCCAAATATCTTGTAGTATCCGGATTCGAGAGCCATTGCCCACCTGCCACCGTAGGCCCCTCTTAAGTAAATTCTTCCCTTCCAAGATACCTTGCCAAGCCCAGGAAGGGCGAGACCTGGCCGTTGCATCAAGGAAATCATGGTTTGGATGGTAACGAGCTTTGTAGATTTGAGCAAGGTGGCTCGTGGGATTAAGGAGAATCCGCCAAGCCTGCAAAGTGAAATTGAGTTTCGCCACTATTTTTTTTTTTTTTTACTGTAAATAATGGTGTCTTTGATTTTTTGGTAATAAAAGTGAACTTATATGGGGAAAACACACATTATGCCTTGTACATTTTTTCTGAAAAAGGAAAAAAAGCCCCCAGCGTTTGATGCGAAACGGCGTCGCATTGAGGGTGAACCGACTGGTTACTGGTTAGGACTTGGGAGTTAGGACTTAGGACTCGAGGCAAACTGACGAGGCGAAGGGAAAGTTGTGTTCGTGTATAGAAAACTGGAAATCAGGGATTCCGTCCTACTTCCGCTAGAAAGAAATGAGGAATCGAAGGTTCGCCCAGGTGTCTACGAGCGACGAAGACGAGGACACTCCGTCACGGCACCGGACTCGTTCGTCTGCCAAATCGGAGGGCTCCGGCCGGCGGCTAAAGAGAATCCGCCTCGCTGACGAAGAGGAAGACGAGGCGGTAGAAGAGAAAGGGAAGCGGAGGAAGAAAGGGAGGGAGGAAGAGGTCGAAGAAGAAGAGCCCGACGAGGAAGAAGAGGAGGAGGAAGAAGAAGTCCAGGAGGATGCGAAGCCTGTAGGTGAACCTGTGAAGGTTACGGGGAAGGGGAAAAACCGCCGGACTCACTACAAGGGCTTTGAATTCGACGGCAATCAATATGAGCTGGTGAGTAGCTTATTTTCCGTTCCATTTCCTTCGCTGCTTTCAGAATTTTCTTCGTAGGTCGAATTTAGAGATATGAGATTTCGCATTATATTTTTGGATTGGTACATCTCAAGGCTCAAGTTATTACCCTGTATAACCATAAACTAGGTTTGCTTCTGCGTTTGCTGTGAGTTTGAAGCCCCCTTTGGATCGATGGTTGATGATATGTATGGTTTTGCTAGTGCTAGAAGTCTAGTACATAATTTAATTTTCACAACTTTAACTTGGCTATTGAAGGTTTGAATAAGGCTTGGAGCTTTTAGTTTCCGGTCATGGTTACAACTTGCACATGCGCATCTAGTAGCCAAGTTCTCGTTGCTGTTTTGCTGGCTAGCCTAGGTGGTTAGTGCATCAAGTTTGAGATGGATGCAATTTTGTACGTTTTGCTGTATTGGTATTTTCTGGGTTTCTTGTCCTTTCTGATCACTCACTCATTTATCACTTAACCTGGTTTTGCTTTGGTTGTTTGTAGGAGGATCCTGTACTATTGACCCCCGAGGAACAGAACCAGAAACCTTACGTTGCAATCATCAAGGTAAGTGATTATACATAGTTTTCTTTTCATGGGGATTGGAGTGTGGACTACACCATTTCCATCTTGGCATGTCTTTTCTAGGCAGACCATGTTAGATCACATTTTTTGAACATGAAGTTTGTGTGGCTAGTAGATGTTGCTAGTTATGCTGCTCGAGGTGATTCTGAGACTGAGCACATGAAGAACACAGATCCATCCATGGTGCTATGTTTTAAGTTCACAACATCTCTTTGTTTTCGGATTTCACAATTTGTGTTATTGTACTTATGATTGTCATAGTGGTGGCTGAACTGCATATCCTTGAACGAGTAAGGAATCTGATATGCACTTTTTTCCTATCTTTTCTTGCTCACTGACAGCTGCAATTGAAAGAAATATTGTACTACGATTATTTTTTCAGATCATTGGTTTTAACTGATTTTCTCCTTCTCCACAATTTTGGCTTTATTTGATGCTCTCTCTTTCCTTAAATTAATCTTTACTTCAGATTTCTTCATTATGATTTTGTAGGACTTTCTTCGTATTTACGTCAAAATCTTCATAGGTTCCTTGTTTACTTGGTCTTAATTTGTGGAAGATTGTATACTGGCATACAAGTTTTTTGGTTCTCTTATGTTCATTCTACCTCTAGGTCCTCTACCCAATTTTCTCTTGTTATTCTCCCTGTATATCTTTCCCTCTTTCTTCAATGAAGTTGGTGTGCTGTTAACAGGACATCACTCAGACAAAAGATGGCAATATGATGGTCACTGGGCAATGGTTTTATCGTCCAGATGAGGCTGAGAAAAGAGGAGGCGGAAACTGGATATCATCTGATACCCGGGAGCTGTTTTATAGTTTCCATCATGACGAGGTTCCTGCAGAGTCTGTAATGCACAAGTGTGTTGTGCATTTCATTCCTGTTCACAAGCAGATTCCTAATCGGAAGCAGGATCCTGGTTTCATTGTACAGAAAGTTTATGACACGGATAACAAAAAGCTGTGGAAGCTAACTGATAAGGATTATGAAGATGATAAGCAGCATGAGATTGATATTCTTGTTCAAAAGACTCTCTCACGTCTAGTAAATCTTCCGGACATTGAGGTTGAAGATGCTGGTGCTGCGCCTTCTGGTGAGCCTGAAGATCAGTCAAAGGTTAAAAGAAGTCTCCGGAGAAAGAACATTTCACCTCTTGATGTTTACAGGGAGGAAGAGACAGCTTCTGCAAGGGATGGTCTGAGAGCCGAGACACCAGGAAGTTGCACAAGCAATTCTGAATTCTATGCTATCTTGGTGAAGTTTAATGCATTGACCGGAGACACCCACCGTGACAGGTGTTTGGAGAAGCTGCTACAGAGTGTTCAGTATGCTTGCAGCTCCTCCACTGGTGTTGGTACAGATGACTGTGTTAAAGAGAAACCTGGTTCAAATGGGCAGAATAATGAAAAGGAGGACAAATCCCAGTTGACTGCAATTGATGATGCTCAACCGAAAAACCAGAAGGTGTGCTTGTTATTTTTCATATGGTGTTTTCTCTTGAAATATAGGTTGAGTTTCTATGTTCCTGATGTGGTGATTTACTGGTTGAAACATGAGTGTTCTGAAATTTCGATGGTCTTGATTCTGCCCTGTTTGTATTGTGCAGGATAGCAAGTCATTCCCCTGGCCAGATGCTGCTGTTCCTGCTGTCAGTGATCTTGAGCGGGTCACACATGAGACCTTGTCTGCTGATAAGTACAACCAGAAGTTAAGACAACTTGTGTTCAATCTCAAGGTCAGTGTATCTATCATCTTTTACATGCATCCTTTTATTCGTTATGTTTCAATTCCATGAGTAAAAAATTTCTAAGTGCATAGAGCAGAAATAGTTTTGATGTTACTGAAGTACCGTGTTCTTCTAAAATGATTGTTTGAATTGTATCGGCTTTCATTATTTTTCCTTTAAAAGATGGTCTGTCTACCCTTTTAACAGAATAACGAGCGCCTTGCTCATCGTCTTCTGAATGGAGAGTTGGAACCTTCCAAAATACTGGCCATGTCACCGACTGAGTTAAAGGTAATGAAATAGTGTTTCTACTTCTCTGTTGTGCCTGTGGTTTGTTTTCTTCTGGTTTTTGGTACTTTGTAGTGTGTTGGAAAGTTGGTCTAATTTGTTAAAGCTTCAGGAAGGGTCGACTGCAGAGGAAACAAAGACCAATGAGCCCGAAGAATCTGTCCGTATGCAGGTGACTTTCCGACCACCTATTTCCAGAAACAGATATAGTCTGCTAAAGCATTTAGGTTCCATGGCCATTTGTTAATCTCGTGTGTTTTGCTTATGCTTTGCTCCATCACCGCTGTGACAGATGACTGATGCTCGTTGCGGGCGTTGCAATGAGTCCAAAGTGGGTCTTAGGGACATCATTCAAGCAGGACATGGAGACCGTTATCAGGTTCGTAACAGATTTCCTTCGTACACTTTAAAGGAGACACTGGCTTTGTTATTTTTTAACCTAAAAGAAAGTCCGAGTTAAAGCAAACGCATTTCTTGTCTAACTGCTCGAAACAACTATTTATGATGAACTGCACAAATTATTTAAATTTAATAACCACATTAAAATATAATTTTCATCTTTGCGTAGGCAGAATAAGAATCTAAAGTCATTATCGTATAATAGTAATTTTCCAATGATAAAACTATGTACCATCAGAATTCAGATAAGTAACCTTTTTATTACGAAAATGTATCTCATATCTCATCAATTGACCTTTTTTAAACCCTTATCAAACATGCTTTTGTACATTTTTTAGTCCACCTTGAGAAAAGTTGCTTATTATTCAACGAAAAGAAGTCACTTATTTTCAGCAAGAGGTAGTAACACATAAACACTCCATGTTCATCTCTAGACACTGAATTTTCCCTCCATAGTTTATAGTTTACTCTGTTTTATCTATGCCATGAACAATGATTGAGCTGCATTCTCTTGTCGGTGTGGTTTTCAGCTGGAATGCATTGGCTGCGGCAACTCCTGGTATGCATCAAGGGACGAAGCATCCATGTTGACAATAGATGGTCCGACTACCTCGAAATCAGTAGGGATTGCACCATTGGCGACCTCAAAGTTTGAAGAGGTAGAAAAGAAGATGCTGAGTCCTCGGGAATCAGACAGGGCAACAGCAGCAGACTTTTCGAAGAAACCAGGAAATGAGCCGCCGGCACATGTACCACCTGTGCTCGAAACCCAGAAATCGATCGGGAAGTCCAAGGTAAATGACGAGAATCACGAAGCTGCCGCCGCCTCGAAGAAGGATCATCCTCAGACGCAGTAAGGCCGGTGGGTTGGTTCAACGTGTTTAGGGGTTGTACAGAAGCAGAAGGAAAACAATTAGTTGTGTATGCTGAGCCTTGGAATGGGCTTATGCCAGGTGATGAAATAGTTTTAGACTGTCCTTTCAGGGTGTGTAGTTTGCTAGTGTGACAGTGAGGGGTTGATTCAGCGTCTTAGGTTGTGGCTGTGGAAACTTGAGTAAAAGATAGCAGCTGAATAGAATGACAAGAGAGAGAAACATATTGTAGATTGGTAGTCAAGTCAAAGTAAGTTTTAGTTTTCCAAAGCCACATTCTCCCGACTCCCCAGAACCCAGAAAATGATGAACTCTTGGAATCAGGAAATGATGGTCTTCTCTTCTGGAAAGGATAAAGCCCTTTAAGCTTCACTAGTAATGATGTGTGCATATGAGTGAATCCGCAGCAAGGGCATCAGTCAATTATATTATGGTATTGTTATCCCAGTGATTGCAGAAAACAAGAACAAGTAACAAATTATGCATCGTTTCAAAAGAATGAGCGTGCACGTACAAAATCCCCTAACTCAATGATTTGCAACTACTACGAAAGAATGAGCGTGCACGTACAAAATCCCCAAACTCAATGATTTGCAACTACTCATCGTAGTAGTGTGTATTGTCGTTCCAAGTAGATAGAAATTGTGAATGGAAGATCCAAAACTCAATGATTTGCAACTACTCATCGTAGTAGTGTGTATTGTCGTTTCAAGTAATAACTCGATTTTTTAATGATTCTATTGTACAAAATCCCCTAACTCGATTGATGTACTTCATATCAGTATACATGGGTACCTAATCATACCAGTCATGCCAGATCATACCTCTTCAATGCATATGGAGATTAGATTCCTTATTTTTGTTTTTGTTTTTGGGTGCTGAAAACTGGGACAACTTTTTGAGGTTATAGATAAGAGGGAGCGGCGTGCACGTACTCAAATTATGGTGCTGTGGTTGTTAACTAAGCCGGGGGAAGGGCAGATTGAGATTTTAGGAAGCTCATGTATATATTCCTTGATTATAATCATCATTACTGTTGTCATTGTTTGCATGTGCTCGTTTATTAATTATTATTAACAAATTGGCGGTGTTCCTCTTTTGTTGGTCGTCTAATTAACCAGCACCAGATGCCATCGCCTGCATATTTTAATGCCATATGCATATGGTTATATGCTCTCGAGTTGTGAAGAGAAGGAAATATGCCAAATACTTATTAGCGCAAAAGGGGAAAGGATTTGACACATAATCAAATCAACCCGAACATTTAGATCAGTGATAACTATGCAATGGCCCATACTTCATGTCCATGATAGATAGTAGTTTAAAAAAGTTTTTTCTCCATATTCCGTACCAATGTAAAGTTGCAGAAGCTAATAATCGAGGGACAACAATCAAATTCAATCAGCGACAACCTCACGACTGACAAGAAGTTAGTGATTTAGAAACTGAACAGAAAAATGAGGTTATTATCAATCTGGCTGAGTAGCGCGGACTACGTCGAGCTCTCTTTAAGACGTTCGCGGCAATGTCTCGTTATGCGCACAACAGACTATCAGTCGGTCGTCTCCGGGATAAAACAACTACTCCTTTGCTCAGTGGTTTTATGTAAAAATGAAAAACCGAAGCTCCCCGTATTTCAGACTCTCTCTCTCGTGTTTCTGCTCTTTGAATTGTGTTTAAAGCGTCCTTGAAATGCTCTATTTAATGGAGCAATGCATAGGCTCGTAGTAGGGTGATCGATAGGTAGGTATAAGGTATTCTACATATCTTCCATATGCTTGTGTACCAAAACATGGCAAAATTTGAGCCTATGCTCTTATTAAGTTATTGTTGTGGGCTAAAAGTGATACATACAGAAAGTTGAGGGAGGAACGTAAAATGCCAGCCAGCCCACGACGGCCCGACCGGCCGTGGCCCGCTCCGTCGCAGTCGCTCTCAGGTCAGATCATTCAGTTTGGTTCCTGGTCTCCCGCCTAAATCCGTAAACCCTAAAAAATGGAAAAGAAATTCACATGGCACTTACTTACACGTACGTAATTACTTTCTTCTCCTTTGACCTTGACCATCCAAATCCAATTAATCTCCATTCTCCAGCCCACTTTCGCTTTTGTAACTCGATTGGGCACATTTACTTCCTTACCCTTGCAGTTCAGCTTACAGTTTCCATACAAACCACCAAACAATTGCAAATTGGGAAATTCAATTAGTTAATTGGTTTCCCTCTTCCCAATTCTCTCCCATTTGGCTCTTACGGGTCGTTTGCTTCATGGATTTGAAAAATGAGGGGTTTGATAAAATTTGGGTTTTGGAAAATCATGGATATATGATGAATTTGGTGGCATTATGGATTTGAACAAGTCTATTGTTTGCTTGATGGATTTGATTATGGACTTTGTTTGATTAGATTTGTGGATATTAAATACAAATTACCTAGTTACCCTTATTTAATTATATTTCTATATTATAATCCAAATCTTTCATTTAAAACTAATCCAAAACATATAAAGAAATTTTAAACTCTTTACCACTATGTGAATTAATAATTCAACTACAAATATAGAAATGTATTACGATTTGGCACTAATTAACAATTCATCTAATAATGTATGCAATATTATGTATCAATTGCAGCCAATTGCTCGCTTTATTGCTACAACTCAGCATCTTCTTGCTAACTCACCGATGTGGAATCCGACAATCAATCAAATAATAATGTACAAGATGAGCATAAAGTGTTTCTAGGTGAATCTAACAAATCACATATACATTCATATTTAAATTAAATACGATATTACAAAATGAAATGATAAATTCTCATATTTATTAAATACGAAATTGTGAAAGTTTACAGTTGCATGACCATTGAATTAAAGTAGGACAAATTTATAATTAAAGAAATAATTAAGGGTAGAAAGGTAATTTACCATCATGGATTTTAATCCATCACTCAAATCCCACCTCAAGAGGTGGAACTTCCAAGTCCGTGGGGTCCACGGATTTGGAACCCCAAAAGAGGTGGGCCCACAAATTCCATCTCCCTAATTCCCTAAGGCAAACGATGGATTTCGGTTCAAGTTCATGATGGATATATTTTCATCACCAAACCCATCACCAAAACCCTCAAGCAAACGACCCTTAGTCTGGGCATGGTTTGATTGAGACAATTTCTTTTCTTAATGATTAAGCGCGTCATATATTAATCATTTTTGTAGACAATACATATGATGTGGACTGTATTATGTGTGATTCATTAGTATATAACAAAATGAGAATAACAAGTGCAAATTAATTTGTAATTTCAACATATTTTTTTTTAAGATCACCATAGTTAACATTTATTCACTATCTCATTCAATTCTTCCCATCAAATTTGCAAAGTCTAAAGTTCTTAGATATAACTAAATCAACCGCATTATATCCCTCTTAATTTGCGCGGAGTTAGATTTTTTAAATTTAAAATAAGCCCTAAGAAAATGTCGGATAAGAAATTTACAAAACTAATAGTAATCAAGAACAACACTTTCGTATGCAACCACAATCACAAATAAGATCACGAGAACCAAGAGTAGTGCCCTCTAAAGATGAGGATATAATAGTAATTGAAGGATTGTCACACTAGGTGGGAAGGAAACTAGAACTTAGAAAGAAAGGGATCTGAATTCTGAAATTAACACAAACAAACACAAAATCATTCAAAAAGGTTCCTTTAATTAATTAGTGTGGGGAAAAGATTGGATTGGGAACAGCTAAAATTAAATGTAGGCATCATCTTGTCTTTTTATATCTCCTGTGTGTTGCTGTTCCCCAAAACCCACTGAGCTTCCCCTCCCCACTCCCCATTAAGATAATCATACATGGCAGTGTGATTCCTTTCTTTCTTAAATGATATGGTTAATTTATAATATTAGTGATTATAATCATAAAGAAAAGAATTTAGTTCCTCTCCATGGGTTATTAGAGCATCAAAATAACCAGAAATGCCCCTCATCTTTAGCAACTAGGATTTAGGAATGCAGTCGGAGAAGGGACATAACCGTCTTTTACCCCTTTTCAAACATGCATTGGCTTCCTAAAGCTCTCTCAGCTCCCAGTCCCACCCTATCATTCGCCTGAAGGCGTGGAACAATGGACAAAACAGAAAACCCTACAAAATTAAGAAAAGAAAAGTAAATAATTTTCAACTTTCCTTTCGCATATGATGGAGTGAGAGAAGCACAGTATTGAGCCAGTGAGTGAGACTGTGAGATTGAGCGAACAACAAAGAAAATGGGGAAGGAAAGATTGCTGCTTTGGTAGACATGAACAGAGGAAGCTCTCACCACCAGCAGACTCCTCTGTCTCTGCATTGTTAGTAGCGGTCAGCCAAGGCATGCAGTCTCTCTCTCTCTCTACGCTCAGCAAGTTCACTTTTTCTTCTTCTGTGTTCAGTTTGCTTTACTGCTGCCGATTGGTCCCTCCATTTCCTTTTGCTTTTTTTCTCCTTGTTCCCTCATTTGCTTTATGATGTCTCCCACTGGGTACTTTTGCCGATTCCTTGAGGGGACTAATCCAATATGTACCAAAGTTCTCATCTTTGGGGTAGTTTCTGAGCCTTGCTTCAGATGGGTACTTGGGTTTTGCTCTCTTTCCATGTTCCTTCCACCTGTTTGATCTCAATCGGATTAAAATAACACTGTTATTGAGCTTGAAAGGGTTTAATGATGTGGTTCCCTCTGCTTGCCAGTTTGTTGGCTTTTCCTTTTCATTTCTCTGGGAGAGAGATCTAAACAAGTTGAGGTGGAGGGGAAAGTGGGGCATTGTTTCCATTTTAATTGATTGCCTTGGATAGTTGGATTGGAATGCAAGTGAAGGTAAGGGAAAGTGTTGTGTGCTGCTAAGCTAATAATTGCTGTTTAGCCTTTTGTGCCCTCCGGTGGTTGTTTTGCTTTATTGCTTTTCCTCTCATAGGGAGGGAGAGGGAGAGGCGGAGGGAGAGAGAGAACAGAAGCTCTCTTTGTTTTGTTAAAGGGAAAAACTCTCAATAGTTGCAGTTCCGTAGGGATCAAATGCTGTGTTTTTCTCTGAGCCTTTTTCTTCTTTAGCTTCTGATCTCAAAGCTTGAAATCATTGATGATGGTGAGCTTTCTTTCTTAGGAGATGAATGTTCTTAAAGCAAAGGTCATTGCTTTCTTGTTACAAACCATTGGAAAATGCATACAGATCCCTCATTATAGCTTTAACCAGCTGTTTGATATTCAGCTTGTTTTCTACCCCTCCTTTTCTGTTTTCCTTGTGTTGGTTCTTGATTGTAATGCTATTGAATCTGTTTCTCTGGTTTGAAGTCTAATGGTGCACAATTGCTCAAATTCTCATGCTTTATGTTGTGTAGCTTTGGTGTTTGGTAATATGGAGCTGCTATTATTAGTCAAGTCAACAGTTTAGGAGATCAATTCACCTTGTGTTGTCTTTTTCAACAACTCAATTGCTTGCATTGTTCTTGTCCATCTCTCGCAGGGTTCCAAATCTAGCAATGGGATTAGAAATGGAGTTGGAATTCAAGAAGAAGAGCAGCACTTCAGATCTGAGTCCTAACACTGTCCTTCCGCTTAGACAATGTTCTGAATCTGATAGCAAAACTGCCCACCATCAGAATCTCACTCGTAAAGATCATTTCTTGAGGGTAAAGGAAGGCTTCACAGAGATTAGCTTCCGCCGTTATCGTAGTACCTCTTGTAAGAATGTTCCATCTTCTAGGCCTTCTGGAGTATTAGCACCTAGCGTAGACCTGAAGCGAGGTTCCATGTATCAAAGCTCCAGAGATGTAATGCGAATAAAGAAAATGGAGTCTTCTTCTTATAATGAAGGAAGGAGGAAGATCGAGTTGTCACGTGGTAGCCACACTTCTTTCTCCTTGGATGTTGTTGAGTCATTGTGTAGCTCGGATGAAGAGGATGCTCAGAAGGTGCATCCTGCATCAGCATTAGAAGCGAAAATGAACCTGATTTCTGGTCAAAAGCCTCGTTTGGATCCTCCTTGTCCATCAGCTGATGCATTTATCGAAATTTGTCCAAATTTGGTTGTCAGAGAGCGACGAGATGCTGGAACTGTTGGAAGAAGTCATTTGAGAAGTGAGACTCAAGGCTTGAGAAGTGAGAATGTAGCTGGTCCTCAGAATGATGCTAATTCCCTCCTCGAAAGAGATGTGCCAACGTTTCACAAAACACTATCTGCTAAGCTAGAAATGCCTCATTCGCCTTCTTCTGCTTCTGAGAGTGATTGCTCCACTCGTGGAAGTTCAAAGTCGAGATTCGTACCAATCAGAAAGATGTTTGATCCGTTCATGAAGTCAAAGTCTCTGCGCAGTCCATTGAGCAATGCTCCTTATCCAAGTGATCATCCTAAAGCCAATGGGACAGTGGCAGCCATGAGAAGGAACGAGCTCTTAAGAAAGTCTCTATTACATGACTTCTCACATACTTCTCAGCAGAATCATCATTCTTCAAATGTTGCAAGTTCAGCAGTTCACCTACATGGCAGTCTCAAGTTGAAGAACAAAAACAAGGTCCCCTACTTCGAGTTCTCGTTGTCCTCCCCCGAGGAAGTTCTTGTGGCAAAGACTTGGAAAGTAAACAATGCTTCCAAGTGGGTTTACACTTTCCACACCGTTTGTAACAGAAAAAGGAGCAATGCCAGTGGACGAGGTGGGGCTGACGAAAGCAAGGAGTCCATGGTAGTAGCAGGGCAGATGCATGTCTCCTCATATTTGCATTCCGAGGTACAAGATTGTCCTCTGTCAGACAACTCAATGGTGACCGAATTTGTGTTGTACGACATTGCACATGCGAGAAACAGTGTTTCTTCAGAAGGCTCCCCTGATGTCAACAAATCTAGTAGCAATGGCTCCTTCCCTTGTTTGGATGGTGGGATGCATCATAACACGGATGATGGTTCAACTACCCCGAGTCATAGCAGTTCTCCTCACAACATGTCTGTGGGTTTGCAGCCTGACCTCGAGATTGCAGCAATTGTTATTCAAATCCCTTTTGCGAAGAGGGAGAGCTTGAAGTACAAGAGAGGTTACAACAGTAGGAAGAAAGTGCATTTGAACCTGCTCAACTTCTCCATGGCTGAGAGAAGTGCAAAGCAAAGTCCTGATAGGGAAAGTACAGAAAAGGTGAAGGTGGTAATTCCCATGGGAAATCACAGCCTGCCAAGTGATGCCGAATCCCAGGGGCCATGTTCATTGCTTGACCGGTGGAGGTCAGGTGGGGGATGTGATTGTGGGGGATGGGATATGGCATGTCCCCTCAATGTTTTTGGAAATCCTGACATCCAATGTGGTGAAGATGAACCTCTCGTCGATAGCCAGAAGCCGTTGGAGCTCTTTATTCAGGTGAACAATCATCTATTGGTAACTGAAAATTTTGCAGTGGAAAGTTCCTTAATTGTACAGAATTTAGTGATCAGATGAGATTATCATTAGCAGCCTTAGCTTTCTTCTTAATGTAATAGTGCATATATGGTCATCTTTTGTCCTTCTAGGCTCTAGCTATTATTATGTGGCTCTTTCACTTCTGCCATTGGCTATAAGAAGATTCTGAATGTCGTGTTGCAGGGTACGAAAGAGAAGACACCAGCACTTATGATGAGAGTAGTGGAAGAAGGCGAGTATGCAGTCGATTTCCATGCAAAGCTATCCACTTTACAAGCATTTTCCATCTGCGTTGCCATGCTGCACGGCTCAGAAGCTGCAAGCGCAGTTGGGGATAGCAGAAGGAAGAAGAAGCCGATGCTGCCACATTGCAACTCGCTGAAGGTACTGATAGAGGAAGAGGTCAAGTTCTTGATCGATGCAGTGACGGAGGAAGAGAAGAAGAAACCTTGTAAGAAATTGGAAAAAAAGCAGCAGTCTTACAAGCTCAAGCCTCCAATATCTCCATTTTCTCGGGTATAGTAGACTCAACCACTCAAATGAAGAATCAGAAAGAAGCATTGCTTTTTGGAAAGCAAGAGTCCGACTTGCATTGATCGGGAGATGACCAGGGAAGAGAATGATGTTGTAAGATGTACAATTGAAAGTTTTGATCTTTCCCTTTTTCGGTTCTGGAAGCCATTGGTTTAGAGTAGGGAGTTAGAGATAGGAAACACAAATATTGTGCATAAAGTGTGTAGCTCAAGAAAAAGTTATAGCAGGGAATGAAGTACAGATTTCTTTAGAGAGGATAGAGTTTCATTCTTAATGTGCTATTGGGGGTTACGTTGTATTATATTAAATCTGTCTCCAAAGCTGCTGCTAGGAGTTCTTTCTGCAACTTTTCTTCTTAGGTTCTTCAAATAATATGATGAAGCCAGATGTTCTCTACGAGATTGGTTGCTGCTGCTGAGATTCATTTGCCTGACGGTCTGTTCTTTTGGCTCTTTCATTCATTGCCTCCTCTCCCGTGGAATTGATGGTGGTAATGTGCATGCGATTTGGAAGTTGCCGAGTAGCTGTTGTTCATATTGGCATGGAATAAAAAAAAGTAATCATATATAATAAAATGGGTTCTGATTTTGGTTCTTCTCTGGATTTTGTTTCTGTAATCGGACAGAATCAACTCCATTTGTCGCCTTTCCATACGAGATGGGTTTTGTATTTTACAATGTAGGAGAAAGTTTGCAGTTTGTCGTTTGTCCTGGTGTGACCAGAGTCCAGGCAGCGGATTAGCAGCAAAAATGTATAAAACATCGCCGTTGCCGGGGATCGAACCCGGGTCACCCGCGTGACAGGCGGGAATACTTACCACTATACTACAACGACCTTGTTGTTATGGTCTTCTTCCGAGTATTAAAATAAACTAAATAAAAAATATGGTGAACTCCATTTTTAGATGATTTCTCTTAAAAAGCATAGCTTTGTCTTGTCGTATAAAAAAAATTAATGGTCTTCCACATCTGAAGAAAATTCAAGATGATTATTTATAAGAATAATTTTTTTCTTGTGAACATTACAACTGAATTAGCTTATCAGCAATATATCAAAACAATAAATTTTAAAAGTGACATTTTGTAAATGAAAATTTAATAGTTTGGTATCATTTCTTATAAATTTTAAATCAATTTCATCAGCCATATACTGTGCTATGTTACTTGCACTCAAAGACCACCGTTATTAGTGGTGAAGTTAATTAGAATTTAAAGTGAGGAAATCGAGAATGAAAATAACAAGTTGCAAGAAACTTCATATAATTGAACCTAAATTTCGAAGGACGAACGGATGATAGTTCACGTTCTACAACTTTCTAATATTCTATAGGTACGAACACACACTAAAACCTTAGATCCAAAATTGAGATGGAGAATTATAGCCCCTCCTAAACTACATGTAGCTTCACCATTGTCATTTATATTAATTTCTTTCATCCGATAAATACTATCATCACACCAACAGACAATTACATCACAGTAACAAGCTCCTCAATCTTCACGACATAAAAAAAATGTAGATAATTACGATTAACACATGATCACAACAATTAACAAGCCATTCGTGATCATTTGTTGAAACCAAATATATAGATTATCATTAACAACAAACAGAGAAACCCTAAACCCCCCAAAGTGTCCCAACAAATTAAATCACCCCCGCCAATTTTCTGTTCTGTACTTTGCTCATCAAGAAATCCAACAAATCCCCCTAATAAGTCAATCAACAGTTCAACACAAATCAATTTGCTGCTCGCTTAAGAACGGAGAAGACGAACCGTCCACGTCGGCCGTCAAAGCAGAGACCAACCTCGTCACCTTCCTTGAGCTCCCTCCTCCTCACAAACCCTCCCGTCCACTCATTGTTGAACACGTAGCCCCGGGTCGAGTTCCACCTCCGGAACTGCAGCCGGTGCTCCGAACCCGTGTCCACGTCCCAAACCACCACGTCCGCCGCCCCCTCCGCCTTGCACCCGCCGCTCTCCACCCTCTCCGCCGCCTCCGCCGTCAGGTACGGAAACACGTGCTGCCGCGCCAAGTCGTTTGCTATCAACAGCCTCGAGCAGTCGTTGGTGTCGCTCTTCGTCAACACCTTCCTTATCGTCCACGCCACCTCCCTCTCCTCCTCCTCCTCCACCACCATCGCCGCCCCCACCGCCGCCTCCTCGTGCCTAATTGAGACAAGAAAATCGACGAATGAGTTACATAGCCCTAGCTAGGGTTTTTTTATTTATTGCATGCATGCAGCGACGTACTTAATTAGAAACGCAATGCAGTCAAAATCGTGATTTTATGTAGAATCGATCTGATAATTTGGAATCGTAAAAACGTAAACTTCTAAATTTTAACTACAATTGTAAAGAAAAAAAAAACGCGATTTTACATAGAAGTATTTTAACTTAAGCATTTAAATTTTAAAACGCGATTTTGATACGTACCCGACTACCATCATATTCGCCTGATCATTACTAGGAATATTAATGCCCAAGCGGAGCATTAATAATGCGTCGTCGTCGACGTTCGGATCCCCGGCGACGGGAGCGGCGGGGTCTGGGGGCGGGTTGAGGTCGCCGGGAGTGAGAGGGAAAAGTGGGAGTTCCGCCAAGACTAGCACTTTCTTGTTGCGGCCGTGGTAAGTGGTGCGGCGTCGTTTCTTGTCCTTGGCGATGACCTCGACGGTGGTACTGGCCGTCATATTGCTATGGACGGCGGAAGAGGAGACTTAAGCAGTAGTGAAAATTAGCTATGTTGGTGGCGCGCGGTGGTTCACGGGGACAATATGATCTCCATGTTGCAATTGAGGGTAAGAGCTTTATAATTAAGTCGCGGCTTATATATTAACTATTCCTCTATGGATTTAGAATTATTTGTTGTTCCAAATCAGTAAAGGAAAAGTACTACCAGGGTATGTATGTACGTGTAATTATTTGTGGGGAATTAATTTATAATTATGATTTGAGTGTGGTAATGATTTTTTTTATAATTCATTAGAAATTAAGGATATGATTATTGATTAATTGTTATTATTTTTTATATTGGTCAGGTGGTGTATCTGTGTTCACTGTTCAGACTTGATTGCGAAGATCGTTAGTTAGTTGATGTCATGCTGATGGGCTTTGCGATTTAATTTCTTGGCATTTGTTTTGTTTTATTTCCGTTTGGGGAGAAAGTGTTACCATGATATTTTTCAGTTTTTCTCTTGGTAATGTGCAGAGTTGGAGTGACTGCTTAGTTCCGTATATGAGTGGGGTAAGAATTCTAAATATTTATTTTTATTTCTACTGGTTTTTTATTTATGATCGAATTCAAAAGTTCTTATATAATAAGGAAAGAAATATAAAATGATAATTTCATTTATATCAGTTAATTAATCAGCAGAAGTGTTTTCTCAATAGAGATATATGATGGGTGATCGGATGTTCTTCATACATACTCATTTATAAGTAAGACGCTCATAGAAACTATGACACATTGGCACCCACATTACATGTGCATAGGTGAAATCAAACTGTGGTAAGTCCGTCTTTGACAAGTTAGGATAGATCATGTGTATCGAGATGTGAATTATAGCTTATTACCTTACTTCTATAGGCCATGCACTTTCTACACAATTACATGTTTTTATGCACCCCACCAGTGTACAATGTACTGGCCTATTGGTTGTATTTTGACCACATTGGGATTCAAACACCTCGTTTTGTTTGATGAATAAAGTTTGGACATCTTTTAAACACTTCCTTTAAAATAATAGCAGAAAGAGTTATCCTATAAATCAAATTTGATTAAGCTATACCTTTTTTATTATATACATTGGATTTAACCAATATCAAATTTGAAATCATTCCATATGATCAAGCCACACTAACTAGATCAGGGTTTATGAGCTCATTCCAACGAGATTATATTCTAAAACCCAAATAATGTTAGTTCGACAAAACATAGGATGAACAAAAAGTCGGAGAACAAATTCTCTCACAATGGTTATGTTCTCTAATTCAGAAAATGAAAGGAAACGTGAGTTGTGTGCAGAATCGATTCCAAAAATTGTAAATGATTCATGTGAACTATTTTTGCATAACAATGAAGTGCACACCTTCTAGAAACAGACACCTCCACTTACTGATAACCAACTGCTACTACTATTACCACAATGATATAAATTGGTAGCTTGATTACCACGACCACGAAGGCATTTTGCTTAATGGAAGAATAAATCATCTGAAAAGGTAAAAAGATTCATCAGAGATAGAAAAGACATTTAACCTCCCCTGTTTTCAAACTAAAAAAAAACCCACACAACAATGGCGGCCGATTGGCAAAACCTTCCGGATGAGCTCCTGAACACAATAGCCACAAAATTAACCACGCTCTCCGCCAACATCCGCTTCACCGGCGTATCCCGATCGTGGAGACTCGCCGGCTTACAAGATCGCCACCGCCTAATTGGGCGACAAATTCCAGGCCTCATTCTTCCTCCTCCTCCCGACAATAACACCATCAGCACCCGCAAGTTCATTCCATTAACAGAGTTCATCAACCATCACAAAAAGAATACCAACAACAGCAATTACGATGTCTGCAGCGGTGGCGGGCAGGGGACGAACACCAATGAGCTTGCAATTCCATGGCGGCTGGCAGAGAGGAGCCTCTGCATCGGGTGGTGCAGAGGATGGATGCTTGTTCTTGATTACAATTGCAAATTGACTCTGCAGAACCCTCTAACCGGTTCTGAATTCGCTCTGCCCGAAGAAGAGAAGGTGAAGAGAATCAAGCACCTGGATTTCCTGTTGTGGGGATACAGGCGTTCGAGAAGAGTCTCAATCCAAGCTCCTCCTCCCTGCAGCGGTACTCACTCTGTTTCTGTTTCCGATTGGTTCGTCGTCGTCGTCCAGCCTATTGAAACCTACCTGAAGTATTGCAGGGTTGGGGATGGAAAGTGGAAAGTTTTAGAATTCCCAGAGTATCAATTTGGGGTGAAGGATTACATAGTGGATGCACTCTGCAGCAGCCTGGAAGAAGGGTGTCTCTACGTGTTGATGAGTACAGGGGAGCTCTTCTGCTGCGATTTCGATGGCAGGGAGGAAGAGGAGAAGAAGAAGAGGGTTGTGGCGTTTGGGAGTATGGATGAGAAATTCAACAGAGGGAAAGTTTTGAAGTCACTGGTGGAAGTTGAGGGGGAAATTCTGCTGGTTCATGAGAACAGAGAATGTGGTAAAAGTGATGACAGGTTTTACTCGAGAACTTGCGGGTTTGATGTGTACAGAGTTGATAGAGCGGGAAAGCGGTGGGTTGGGATTACAGATCAATTGGGAGAGGTTGCTGTGTTTCTATGGTTTGCGGGGCAGCCATTTTCGGTTCGAGCAGAGTGGGAATTGGGGATCAGAGGGAATTGCATTTACTTTCTGGAGATGGAACAATGTCGTGGTTCTGATAGGAAACTTTGGTGTGATATTGGTGTGTTTGATCTGAAGACCTCGAAGATTGAGTTCTTCCATGTCGATTCCGAGTTGGAGATGCCATGTCCAGGGAGACCAGTTCGACTTCCCGTACCCATAGCTCCACTGCCATGGTAAGACAAGAGGATGGAAGCTTGATTAGCAGAAGGAAAGGTGCATAGATTTAATTGTGTAGGATAAAATTTGAACCCGAAAGATTTTTAATAAGTGTGGGTAAAGATTGAACGCGAATATTGCTAATGTTGGTTGGACATGGTATTCTCAATATTCAACCCGAACATACTCTACTATACATAGGGGTGGGCAATCGGTTGTCGGTTATCGGCTAACCATTCGGTTTGACCAATAACCATCGGTTAGAGGTTAACCAAAAATCGACGAAAACCAACAATCGGTCGGTGTTCGGAGGGGCAGAAGGGTGCTTCGGTTAGCCGAGTAATCGGAAGCGGTTAACCGGCTAGCCGAAGCTAACCGGCTAGCAGAAGGGTGCTTCGGTTAGCTAGTTTTCTTATAGTTTGGGGAAGTGATAGATCTGCTACTGAAAGGAGCACGAAACTTGGTGGTTCCGATTAGGGCAGGGAATCCAGTCCCGGTTTTCCGGTCAAACCGGAAACCGGCCAGTTTAAACTGGCCCAGTTATAACCGGAAACCGGATACCATTTAACCTAATCCAGTCTGCGGTCAGAGCCCAGGGGCAAAAAACCGTCCCGGTCACGGTCCAATCCGGTCCAGTTTTAACCGGAAACCGGATAGCTGCCCGTATAGCCCATAGCCCACCCCCAAAACCCACAGTCCACCCGTATAGCCCATAGAACACCCCCAAAGCCCACAGTCCGCAAAACCCTAAAAGTCCATAGCCCACCTCCAAGGCTCCAACACTCCGTCGCGCGCCGCTTACTCTTCTTCCTGTTCTCTTTCTCCAACATTCTTCCTCGTTTCCCTCTTCTCTCCCTTCGGCCGACTCACCCTTTGGAGACGAACGGTCAGTCGAGCTCAGCCCTCGTTCTTTCTACTCTCCCTTATTCCGCCTCAACCTCTGCCTGACGAAAGCTCAGGTGAGCCCAGCCCTCGTTCTCTCTACACTCCGGCTACTTCAACCTCTGGCCGATGAACGCTCAGTCGGAGGAGGGAACATCTCTGTCAAGTCTCGATTCGCGTCTCTCCCGACATGCAAGGACCTAGATACTCCCGTCATGGCACCATCCAGCGGATCTACGGCGATTCCCCAATCAACAAGTTCCTCACCGAGATCTGAACTTTGCTGCCGAATCGACGCTGAGGAAGTCGGCGGCGGAGGCGATGATTTTGGGATTTGCAAGAATCCGATCTCCTATCCGAAAGGAGAGGCTAAGGCGCACCCATCCTCTTCCTCCGACTCTTCTTTGCCAGTGTCGTCATCTGGAACTCCGCCAACAATGCTTTGCCAGCATTGATGAGAAAGCAGAGAAGAATAGGTTGGGTTAATTTGTTCACGAAGAGGTAGAGGGAGAAGAATAATAGCTAAGGGAAGAATTAGGGATTGTGTTTCAATAAAAAAAATTAGAGATTGTTCCTTTGTGGATTGTGCGGGTGGGAGGTGGGGTTTGGGAGATAGCGTTTTTGGGAGATAGCGTTTTAATTTCATTCAAACAATAGCGTTTTTGGGAGGATCCAATTTTACCCAGTTTTTGGTTGAAACAGGACCGGATTGAATCCCATCCAGTCCGGTCACGGTTGAAACCGGGTACCCATCCAATCCCGTCTTCGGTTGTGCTGTATGCCAAAACGGTTTAAAAAAACCGGGTTAATCCGGTTCGGTTTTAACCGGACCGGACTGTTTCCCACCCCTAGTTCCGATCAAAGCTAGGTAGAGGTGGTTGAGAAAGAAGTAGAAAGAACCACATAAGTTGGTGCTCTCCCCTGTCTTGTCCTTCCTTTGATCAGAAACCCCAAAGAAGTAAGTGGGAATAGAGGCGGCGGTTCGGGTGAGGTTAGGGGGTTAGATTGAGTTTTGTTATGCATTGTGTCTGATGTCCGGGATTTATGACGTGCAGGTCGGGTTTTATAATGTGGCGGGTTAAAATTGGGTGATTAGGCACTTCTGTTAGCAGAAACTAATAAAAGAACACTAACGGTGTTCTTTTATGATGTCAGCAGAACACTAACGGTGTTCTTTTATGATGTCAGCAGAACACTAACGGTGTTAACTAAGACTAATGGAGAGTGATCAAACTTGAAATATTTAACTAATTCTAGTGACCATGAATGGAAGTTTTAGTGACCAAACATGAAATTTTTAGTAATTTCTTTTTTCGTTGATTTTTTTAATAGTAATTTCAGTGACCAATATTGCAATTTATCGTATGCTAGTTTTATGAAATTGTATTGTTCTAATTAATATTTATGTTTTAATAATTTTTTGTTGTTATTAAAAAAAAAGTTGTGATTTTCACTTTTCTAAGTTCAGAATATGTGTTTTTGTTAATATGTTGGTTGGATTTATAAAGATACACCATTATTTATGGATAACCGTGAGTATTCAAAACCCAATAGAATATGTGCTAAGTATTGTTTTGATATTCTACTCTTGTATGTTGAAAGTACAATTTGCCAATTTAATATGTTTAGTTAAGTATAGGTTTACAATTACTCTTCTAGAATTGATCATTAATACTATAACAGCATTTTCAAAATCTATCACACAACAATTTAAAAGTTTCACTCTCGATATTCCACACTCAAAACAACCCAAAAATCAATTATCATAGGTACAATGTACCTACTACCTAGCTTTTAACCTTAACCTTAACCTTAACCTTAACATTAACCCTAGTTACTAGCTATTTAATCCTACGGCCACTAACTAATTAATAACAATTGCCTAACCCCTACCCAAACAATCTCCATTACTGTTGCCTAACTAGCTATTCTATTCTTTTCCTTAAAAAGAAAACTAGCTAACTTCAAAGTTTTGCCTAGCTAATCTATTCTTTGCCTAGCTAGCAGAAGAAGATCCCTTGTATAACTTCAAAGTTTTGCACTGTGCATGACAACTAACCCCCATGAAAATTTAATGAATATATCTGATTCTTATTAATTTTGATTTTACATTTATTTTTTCGATAGAGAAATATTATATTAATTGTGTTATACACAATTAAAACCACGTTGATATATTTTTAAATAAATGTTAATTAACGTGTAATTTACTATGGTGTACCACAATACACCATGGTGGTATAGAAAAATATATCATAAAGTATTTTAGTAGTGTGTCCCGATGGCGGACCCAGGCCAATTTAGTAATGTCCTAGGACACCACTAAAAATTTGGGGTAATATATTATCAACCCCTTATAGTGTTTTGAATTTGGGGGAAACTGAAAAATAATATGTGGTAGGTTTAGTGATTAAAATCCGAGACACTGCAATTACTAAAAAACAGGTTATTCATTACATTGCAAATAATTTGTTAGTATTTTAAACTCATAAATGTAATAATTATAAGCTTAAAAATTTTAATTAATTTCTCCATTTTGTTTTCATCCAATCACTAAAAAACTAAATTCACAATGTCCTACCATTCAGATATTGACGAAGCAAAGTAAAGAAAGGTTCGCCTTCTCTTCACTTTCTCTTCTTCGGTCGTTCTTATGAATCAAGCCCCAATCCAACGGTTAGCCTCCACCAGTTGGGGGGCCTATGCCCTTTTAGGAGTGTCCGGGATAACTCTAAAATTTGGGAGTGGGGGTGGGCAGAATTATTGATCCATGGTAGTAGTTTGAATTTAGCGGAATGAAAAATAATATGTGGCAGCATTTGTGATGGAAACCTACGCACTTTGGTATGTTAAAAATATAAATGTAATAGTAAGGCCAATAAAAATTTATTTTAAAATAAATTATCGTGTAGAATTTATTGTCAAATGAAATATTTTGTTTGGTATGTTATGTTCAAATCGTTAGAAATAAAATAAATTGCCGCGTTGAATTCATTGTCAAATGAATTCCTGTGTTTGGTATGCCATATGTATAAGTAATTTAGTTAATAAAAGAAGATGATTATGTCATTCTATTATACTTAGTAAATACTTGTGGAATTCATTTGAAAATTTCATCTCATTTCTTTGGAATTGCTATAACTAGTTCCAATTCCATAGAATTCAAAATTTAGAATTGAAAATTAATTCTTTTAAATACCGAGCATAAAAAATTTTCTTTTTCAAAATGAATTACTCAAAATTTATGAAATTCATTTATATCAAATGATAGGTAAAAAATAAATTCTCAGTTCCCCATTACTCTTCTGATATTGATGAAACAAAGTAAAAAAGGTCACCTGCTCTTCACTCTCTTCTTTAATTGTTCCTATATATGAACCATCTCTCAATCCAACGGTTAGACTGCAGCGGTATTTTATATAATATTGTTGTAGATTGTAGTCGCCAGATAACTTTTTTTTATAATTTTCATAATATGAATACATGCCTTAGCATTTTATTAGAATTTGTATTAATTTGATATTTTTATTTATTAAATTTAATTTTTAGAATAAAACACCTCTAAATAAAATTTTTGGGTCCGCCACTCAAATGTCATAAGTAAAATTAGGCAATTGTTATTAATTAGTTATGGCCATACCCTACTAGTTATTAATTAATAACAATTGCCTAATCAACCCCACTCACCCATAATCACACAGTGTCATGCATGTCTTAATCCTTCAGTCCTAACTATCGTTTTTATGGTCCCTCCGTTGCTATATATAATAGAGATCTCCAACGCTAATCCTCCAAAAACATATCCAAAACCATAAACACAGAAAACACAGTGATATACAAGCTCTTGGAAAAGAATCTACTATATGTCAACGATGACGCTTTTGAGAGTTCTTGCAACTACATTTCTCCTTGTTTCACTCGTTGTGATCAATTCACCAACGTTCGCAGTCGGTCACACGAACCAGATCAGTGGCAACAACCCCTTTGGGTTCGTCCATCAACTGAAAGGTGCGCGCAGAGGCCAATCCATTGAAGGGCTCCGTGACGTGAAACAGTACCTCCAGAAATTCGGCTACTACCTCAACGATGATAACAAGGACACCTACGCCAACGTAGACCAAAACGACGACGACGACGAATTCGATGAGTTCCTGGAGGCTGCAATCAAGCGATACCAACGAACTTATCGCATCCCTGTCTCGGGAGCCTTGGACCATGCCACGACGTCCCAAATGATGATCCCTAGGTGCGGCGTTTCAGACCATGGTGTTATTTTGGCCCTAAGACGATTTGGTGATGATAGATTCTTCCCTGGCAAACCCAAGTGGAACAAGAACCACCTTCGATATAAGTTCGGACCCAAGAGCCGCCCTCCCGCCGGGTTGAAGGAAGCCACCATCAAGGCGGCCGTCGATAAGGCGTTCCAGAGCTGGAAGAATGTAACAAATTTCACGTTCGAGTATGTTGCCAGCAGGACCGCTGAGGCTGAAGTAGAGATTTCATTTTATTCTCGAGACCACGGAGACAATCCTCCATTCGATGGGCCTAATGGGACTTTGGCCCATGCGTTTGCTCCCCGTGCTGGACTTATCCATTATGACGCAGATGAGAAATGGAGCGATGACCCAAGCCCAATGGAAGTAGATCTGGAATCTCTTGGACTGCATGAGATTGGACATGCATTAGGGCTTCTTCACAGCTACTATTATGCAGCGGTCATGTACCCTTACTTTGGACCCGGGCAAGTTAAGCGGGAATTACAGAGGATCGAGATCGAGGCCATCCGTGACCTCTACAACTTGCCTTCAAAGTAAATGCAACGGTTAAACCGGAGATATCAGTATGAACGAATAATCAAAGATGTATCACTCATTCATATGGAAGGGAGGTCATCATATATTATCTCTATAGGCGTACTAAAATAAAAGTAGATGTAATCTTCTAGAATAAATGGTTGTCTCTCTGGCATGCATGTTGTTTGTTTGCATGGCTACGTACTCTATAACGAGTCATATAATAAAATTTTCTTCTCTCACAGAAATCTAATATTTCTCATCTTTGCGTGATAGTTACATAATGGGATATTGAAACGGTGACATTGATTTTTGTTGTTATGAACGCTTGTTTTGATATTGTAGGAATATATAGCTCTTGTGGCCTTTTGTGCTAAATCTACCATGATGGTCGGTTTGGAACCTGTGTTGTTTGATGGTCGAAGCTATGCCTCTTGTATCAGTATCCTTATCTGCTCTAAATTTCAGTCTTTAGCAAATTCAGTTATACTAGGATTTGTTGGCTCCTTGTTTCTATATGGTGGCCTTGAAATTGGTTGTGTTTTTTTTTTTTTGTTCATTTGCTTCTTCTATTCCTTTTCCTTTGTTAGACAACATTTCTCATTCTACAATGATCATTAGTATGCCATCCTTTGATCCAATTCCAAAATATTCACACACAAAAAACTCATTTTTCATGGGGTTGGTGGGAGATTGCATTGAGGACTTTTGTACAATGCCTCTATTTATCGAATTTTGACATAAAAACTCGTTTGGGAAGGGAATAAAAAATGACAGATTTCAAGGACAAGAAATTTTCAAACCTCACATCTTCTGGATTCGAAATAGCTACCCTCAACTATTTATCCTTCACTAACCCTCTTCTTCTTCTTCCCTTTTTTTCCAACTACTTGATCCTCTTCACCCTCTTCCTCCCTTCACTTTGAAGTGCTAGAAAAAAGTAGTTCGAATTGCAAAAAAATAATTAAAAACGAAAATGAAAACAAACACATATTTTGGCTAAACTAACCTTTTTGATATATATCTTTAATTCTTATTTCTTCCAAACTCAACAAACAACAACAATGGTAGGTTGGCAAAACCTTCCGGATGATCTCCTCAACATAGTACCCACAAAACTGCCTAACTTCTCTGCCAACATACATTTCGCCAGAATTGCCTAATCAGGTGGCAAATTCGTGATATCATTCTTTCTCTAAGCCACCACCATGGTTGAAGACAATATCGGCCTACAAGAGTTTAAAACTGGAGGAAGAAGATTGTATTTACTCTCTACAACCATTTTCCACTCCAGCAAATCCAAAGTTGGGAGAAAATTGCATTTACTCTATATGGAAATCGATGGAGATGCCATATCCGTATATACTAGCTCAACTGCCTATACCTGTAGCTCCAGTGCCATGGTGAAATAGCAGAGCTTAACCAAGCTCAGTGACAAACCGTTCATTTTGTTCTTCTTTCGCTTCCCACTACCATATCTATGGAAGCAGTCCAAAAACCCACGATCCTGCGCAGGGGAAGTACATAGTACAAGGGCTAGGTGACCTCCAAAGCTAGGGATCACATCGGGAATCACATGTCCACCTGAACACATCTCAGAATCCGATGTCAGAAGCCACAACATGTCTCCCCTTGGTGTCTTCTTCCTTTTCTTACCATCACCGTCTTCCTCACTACTAAGTCTCGCAACGTAGCATCCATCTAGCCCAAGCTGTGGAAAGTGTGAAAAAGCAGTAGAAGATGTCCCAACTCGTGTCTTGTTCCCAATGTAGGTGGGACATGCCCAACCTCATCAACGTCCACATCATCATCATTATCGTCGTCCATAGTAACCGAATCACTCAAATTAGGCTCACATGGCGTCGCATCCTCAGGTGTAAGGGGTGGAGGAAGTATCTCGACTAAGAGATAACTGCCTCGTAGTAAGGCGACTGTCAGGATGCCCTACTTCTACCTTCTTCTTCTTCTTCCCCCCTAACCTTACATGGATTTTTTTTTTCATGTTCTTTTCGACCAGTCGTTGTAAGTCTACAAACACGACCTTCCATTCTTCCTTCCATTTTTTCTTCCATTCTTTTCCTATTCATATACGATTTGTCTATTCCATGTCTAGACATCTTCAAAAAAAAAAAAAAAAGAATTACAATTAATGATAATCAAATGCATTAAATTTTTTTGATAATTTTTAATAATTTTTTAACATTAGTTACAATTTTCTTAGTAATTTTTTCTAATTTTGGCTACTTTTTAATTTTTTTGTTAATTTATAATACTTTTTTGAATTTTTAAGATGTTTTTTTATAATTGTTTACAATTTTATAAATTTTTATCATTATTTAAAATTTTCAGATTTTTTTAAATAATTTCTTTACATTATTTACAATTTCCATTTTTGTGGCTACTATTTATTTTTGGGTTAATACCATTACAATACCCGAACTATCAAAAAAATGTTGGGTAAATCGCAAGTTTGGTCACTGGGTTTACTAAAAACATTCACGTTTGGTCACTACAAATATTTAATTCCATTTGTGGTCACTAAAATTAGTTCAATAGTTCAAGTTTGGTCACTCTCCATTAGTCTTCATTAACTTTTGCTAATGTGCCAGTTAACCTTCATAATTGACGGTTAAATTAGTGATGTGGCAATTACAAATTAATAAAAAAAATTAATTATTAAAATTTTCCACATCATTTCCACATTTTCACAACTATGCCAAATCCACCCTCCTCCTCTGCTTCTCCCTTTCCCTGTTTTCACCGCTGAACATCCAAACCCCCACCACCCAACCCTCCCATGTCGTCGGATTCGAGGATGGATCGGAGGGCCGATGCGTCGGCCATCTCGGCGGCGGACTCCAATGGGATTTGTACTCATCGACGATGTTATTGGGGATGTGTGGATGGGGACGCCAAATGAGCAGCCGCCGATGGGAACTCACAGACTCGTCGCGTTCGATTCAATTGAAGGGAGTGGGGGCAACATATGCGGGATCTGGGTTATTTCTTAGTTATTCGTCATATTACTTCGAGAAGCCATCGCGAATCCCTCTCTTCGCCATGGATTTCGAATTCCCAGTCCCGTTCTTCCTCGACCTAGCCCCTTCGGTAAGGGGTGTTGTTTTCGTAATCCAACCAACGCAGGCTAGTCATCGCATAAGAATCGTGATTTGGATCTCATGGGTTTCTGGGCTTTCGGAGCTCTGGCGATCCAAATATCGTATGTTTCTTATTGGCTGCTCGATGCTCGTTTTTGGGAAGCTCAAGTTTCCTCTTGAGCAAGGAGCATGGGTGATGTTGTTGCTTGAATCGATAGAATAACGAATTATCAAGATAAAATAACGTCAGTTTGCTATGCTACTCGACGCCTTATGACTACTATTACAATTATCATAACTCCGCCTATGCCGCCGCCTACGCCGCCGTCATTGCCGTATCCAGGCGGATCCCTCAAGTTTCCTGCTGCCCGAGGAACAGATTGTTACTGTGAGGGCCGAACTCTGTCGCCGTGGCCGCCGAGATCCTGTCGTGGAAATCGATCATGGGGGAGCTCATTTACAAAAGAAGTGTACCAGCTATATCAATCTTCTTTTTCTTTTTTTAATAGTTTCGAAAATAGGTGTAAAGTTGAAAATATTTTATTTATTTTATTTTTTTAATAGACACGTCATTTATTTAACGGTCAACTATAAGGTTGACTGCCACATCAGCAAAAATTAACGGAGACTAACGGAGAGTGACTAAACTCGAACTATTGAACTAATTTTAGTGACCCTAAATGGAATTAAATATTTATAGTGATTAAACATGAACGTTTTGAATAAACCCAGTGACAAAACTTGCAAATTACCCCAAAAATACCACTTGTGTGCTATTGTTTTCAATATTCCATTTATGTACTGAACTATTTTTCCGTCAGAGTTGGCCGCGTTAGTATTTAACAGAATGTCTAGTAAGCGCTGATGTGGCATTTGACATGAAATTTTAAATGATTTTTTTATTTATTTTTCCATTTACATTAACAAAATAATAAATGAAAAAAATTCTCCGATCTCTTTCCCCTCTCCATAGGAATCCACCTCCATTGGGATGGGGTGCTAACCCCATAGTACGTTAGCACAGTGCTAACCCACATTTTATATATTTTTTTTATCGGTTAATGAAAAAGGTGTAATATTGCTAAGGGCATTTTTGTAAGTTTGGTTAATTAACTATTAGGCAGTATAATTAGTAGGGTTTTTGGGGGTGGTAGAAGTTTCTTTTTTGGGTGAGTGTTTTCTTCCCATTTTCTTCCCAACGAACCGTGCGCTCTCGCAAGTTCTTCCCGGCGTTGGAGCCTTCGTCGCCGGCAGTCATCGACGCCGCCCTCCGCTCCCCTCGACCTCGTCGCCGCCCTTCGATCCTCCCACCTTGTCGCCGCCCTCTGCTCCCCCGAACTCGTCGTGGCTAGTTGATTTCAACCGATCTTGTCTTCGCTCGGGCCGCCGCCTCAGTTGATAGTCAAATCTCTTCAATCTTCTTTCCATCTTTTCATAGGCGCCATTGCATGCCCCTGCCGCGGCTCTGATTTCTTTTTTTTATCGATCTAGATCTGTCTTTGAGAGAGGTTGTGTCTAGGTTTCCAGATGCTAGCTCTGTTTTGGTTTCTGATTGGAGTGTGGTGCATTTTTTTTCCCGACGAAGTTCAGATTTGCAGATGAGAAGGTGAAGAGTCCAAAACGTTGAGCTCGTAGTGTTTGTGGGTGTGGGTAGTATTGTTTTCTTGGTAGTGATTCGTGTTAGGTTACAGCTGACTGCGGGAGTCCAATACTTTGAGTTCGTAGTGTTTTTGGATGTGGATAGTTTTGTTTCCTTGGTAGTGATTTGTGTTAGGTTACAGCTGACTGCGGGAGTCCAATACTTTGAGTTCGTAGTGTTTTTGGATGTGGATAGTTTTGTTTCCTTGGTAGTGATTTGTGTTAGGTTACAGCTGACTGCGGGAGTCCAATACTTTGAGTTCGTAGTTTTTTTGGATGTGGATAGTTTTGTTTCCTTGGTAGTGATTTGTGTTAGGTTACAGCTGATCACGAAGTGAGTCAGGGCTTTAGACTGGTAGTGATTCTTATCCTGATTAGTAGTGTTCTCGTGTTAGTGGTGGTGAGAAAGCTTGGAATTTATTTGTGTTAGTAGTGTTTCTTTTATTAGTAGTGGTGCTAAAGTGTGTTCAGTATTGGTTTTGTTATTATTGGTGTTTCTTTTAGTAGTGTTTTCAAATTGTACTAAAAGTCTTCCTAAAAGGACACACTTTAACCGTTCCAAAATGAAGAATGGTTCTCTAAAACCCTCTTCAAAACAATCTGAACTCTTAAACCATTCCAAATCCCTTAAAATCCGCCCATAATAATTGACAGATATATTTAAAAACCAAAAATAATTAATTAATGCTACCAATCCCTAAAGTACCCTTAATGTTTTCATAACCATTAAATTAGAACTATAATTGAACGGTGTGGATTGGGGTGGTATTTTTCACACCATATGGTATGATGTTATTTAATATCAGTAAATACCATATGGTATAGACTGGTAATAACTGGCAAATTATTTTTGTTCCAAAAAATATCAAAGTGGAAATGATTTTGAAGAGAACAATAAATCCGAGTTAAAACGAGTGAGAAATCGTCTGTTAAAGATTAAGAGAAGGAAAATTAAACCATTTTCGAGGAGAGAGAAGGAGGTGCTGATGTAATGAAATTTTATTGGGTTATGCATGAGGTTATAGCACCACAAGGTTACTCACCGAATCTCCTCCCCTCCATCACAATTGCGTAATTAATAATTATGGTCTAATTAACCATACAAGCTAATTTAACCATGAGAAAAACTTTAGTGGGACGGGCTCACCACGTCATCTATCCCACTTGGTGCACCCTCCCAATAGAAACCGTCCACGTTTACAATTATTTTAATTATTATTTTCTTGAGTTTTCCTTTTTATCTTTACCCTTCGTCTTCTTCGTTGATGCTCCAGCAAAGGTCCTTTTCTATCTCATGTCTTCTAGTTCTAAACAGTCGGAGGCATGAGGCGGGAGGCGGGAGCTTGACAGAAGAAAAAGCAATTAATCAAACGCGCCGCCTTCTCATTAAACCGCACGCTCCACTAGAGTTCATTTAGTAAGCATCGTCGTAATCTCTCGTCCACCACAGAACCTCGGCAAATCATCGTCTTCAGCCTGTCCGCCGATGTCGGCGACGACAACCTCCCCAGTTTTGTTCGATTCGATGGCATACTAACTTGATTCTGGCATGATTCCACCCAAATCCTGGCAGAATCCTGAATCCCCAGAGCATGTTCTCGCTCAGAAGAAAGTAATCCTCTGAACTGCTGCAATTGTGCTTTCCAATACTCATCGAAGTTGAATGCCGACCTACGGCGGTGGACAATCATAGAAGAGCACAACAAATTGAGTGTCCGGTGCGTAATCGAAAAAATCTCAGAAGGATAAGGGTTTGAGATGGCTCATCGATTCAGAGAATCTTATGAGGTATGTTGAAGATGCCGTTCATCGGGGTTATGTCTACGCTGCAAATGGAATTGAAATTCAAGAGGCCGCAGTAGGGTAGGCGGTTGAGCCCCGAAAAAGGTTAACCTATTTGAACCTGGCCAAGTTCGTTTATTCGGCTGCAGTTTGCATAATTAAGACTGCGAAGAAGAGGAAGGAAAAAGTGGGGATAGAAAAGAACCAGAGCTGGGGATTCAAAGAAGAAGACAAAGGGAAAAAAAGAAAAAGGAAAATCAGGAGAATAATAAATAAATTAAATGTACACGTGGCTGGTTTTTACTAGGACGGTGCACCAAGTGGGACAGGGGGCTAAGATCAGGTGACTAAGGGGGGTCCCTTAGTCACTTGCCTAAGTGAATCTCAGCCCTTCCACCTCATTAAAATCCAATGGTCCTGATTAATCCAATTTAATGAAGGGCAATGTAGTAATTTTTATTTACCAATTAAAATAAATAAAAAGCCAGCCCCCGATCCGTTCCCTTCTCCGCGCGGTCTGCGTATTTGTTCCAGAGACTTTCGACCCTTCCCGCCTGCCAATCCTTCTCTCCGGTGGCGTGTAATTCGTCGGGGCCATTTTTCCCAGGGAGTCGTCGGCGCCATTTTTCCCAGGGAATTATCCCCGATAGAGAGAGAGGCCAGTGGGTGCTGTTGGGAAAGGGAATTTCCCAGGGGGATTGTCCCACGCAAGAGAGAGAGAGAGAGAGAGAGAGAGCGTGTTGTTGGGAAAGGGAATTTCCCAGGGGGATTGTCCCACGCAACAGAGAGAGAGAGAGAGGTTCTGGTCTGAAAATTTTCTGGTCTGAAATTTTTTTTCCCAACGACCATCGTGGACGGAGAAGAATTTTTCGGCGACAGTGCCAATTTTGTGATGTTTGTTGACATATTTTGTAATGTTTGTACGCTTTGTTATTTTGTAATGTTCGTAAACTTTGTTATTTTTGTGCATCATGTTTATCATTTTTGTCAACCATGTTTGTAATGTTTTTTATGTCTAAAAAACAACCTGGTTGACTTTTGGATGGAACTTCTCTATATAGGGATGGAGCCTCCAAAGTCAACCCGGTTGTTTTTTCCCGTTCGTATGGATTGTCGGTCTAGTTTGTCATTTTTATCCACCATGTTCGTACTGTTTGTATGTCTAAAAAACACCCGGGTTGACTTTGGGAAGGAGCCCCTCTATATAGGGATGGAGCCTCCAAAGTCAAACCGGGAGTTTTTTCCCGTTCGTATGGATTGTCGGTCTAGTTTGTCATTTTTGTCCACCATGTTCGTACTGTTTGTATGTCTAAAAAACACTCGGGTTGACTTTGGGAAGGAGCCCCTCTATATAGGGATGGAGCCTCAAAAGTCAACCCGGTTGTTTTTTCTTTTTGTATGGTTTGTATTGTTTGTCGGTCTAGTTTGTATTGTTTGTATAGTTCATACGTTTGTAATGTTTGTAAATCTGTTTGTATGTTTTGTCGCTCTAGTTTGTACTGTTCGTATGTTTGTATGGTTTGTACTGATTGTAGATCCGGTTTGTATACTTCGTAATTTTTCAAATACCCAAACTACCCCCTGCCATTAATTAAATAGCCCTTCCCACTTTTTAACAATTGGATTGAAGTGTCCAGATCTAATGGCTAGGAGGGGCTTAGTCAAGTGACTAAGCACCCCCCTTAGTCACCAGATCCGCACTCGTGGGACAAGTGATGTGGTGAGCCCGTCCCACTGAAGTTTTTCTCTTTAACCATACTAGTACTAGATTCCTATTTAACGTATACCTATAACGTAGGAGGAGTAATGTGGTATTTAAGATCAACTACATTGCATAAAGCCTGTTATTTGATACAAAAAAAAATACTAATTATATAGGAACATAGTCTGGACGCCACCAACTACTTTTATTCTCCTTCAATAGTAGGGATGGGAATTTGTACCCACCCAGTCAGGTATAACCCGACACGCAACAGCGTGGGATGATGCATGAATATCTACTTCCAATCCGTCATGCTCCACCCCGTTCTGGGTCCATTCTATCTCAATCTCAACTAGTTAACTCAATTACGCATTCTAGTATCACTATTTTCATTCATAAAATGTTTTCCCCTTCATTTTTATCATAAAAACTAAAATTTTACATGTATATTTTTCACATTAAATGTAAAAGTGTATCGACCTCCCCAGCCTCGTACCCGCGCGAGTATTACCTGCCCGACCCCGCAATAGAATGGAGCGGAACATTAATATTGAAGTACTCGCCCCGCCCGCCCGCCTCATTGTCATCACTATTCAATAGCCCATCCATAGTATCAACATTCAAAGTACATCACACAACAGCTTAAAATTTCACTCATCTCAAAGATTTCCACTTTCATACAAGCCAAAAATCAAATGTGTCATAAGTACAATATTTGTAGCCTGTAACCCTAACCCTACCAGCTAATCAAATGTGTCATAAGTACAATTGCCTAATTAACCCCACTTAGACCAACTCCAATGCAAGCCCTCAAATTTGGGGATCTTCATCTCCAAATTTGGGGTTCATCCCCATTTTCCCTTCTTTTGCTCCAATGCTACATCCTCTATATTTGGAGATCTCCATTTTTTAAGTTTTCAATTTACTTAAAAATGTACTTATCGAAGCCTTAATATAATTTGTTCATGTTAATTTTTATATAGTTTGTCATTATTTTTAAATACAAATTTTCTGGTAGAAATTTTTTTAATTTTGAGACCAAATTTTTGTTGACAAAAAATGATTGACCTAATTTGGATTTACAAACAACACTTGAAATTTATTGATCTAATTAAACTCCTAACTAATCCCCTAATTAAACCCCAATTAACCCTTAAAATCTTAAAAAGAAAAAGAAACGCCACGTGGCGGGCTTTGGGGAGTCTCTATATTTGGGGGAACCCCCATTTCCACCCCCAAATTTGGAGATCCTTTTGGAGATCTCCCCCAAATATAGAGATTCCTCCATTTATAGAGGCTCCATTGGAGCCAACTTTCCCCCAAATATAGAGGATCCCCCATTTATAGAGGCTCCTTTGGAGTTAGCCTTACACATACCCCATTTCCACCGCAAAGTCAGCTTCAGCGTATTGCACAACCACAATGTTACTTCCCTTTAGTCATGGTCCCACCGTTGCTATATATAAGAGAGATTCCAGAGCTAACTTATCCTCCCAAAACACATCCAAAACCATAAACACAAAAAGCTCTTGAAAGTAATCTACTATATGTCAACAATGACGCTTTTGAGAGTCCTTACATCCACATTTCTTCTGATCTCTCTCGTTGTCATCAATTCCCCAGCATTCGCAGCACCCTTAGGGTTCATCAAGCAACTGGAGGGCGGCCGCAGAGGCCAATCCATTGAAGGGCTCCGTGACCTGAAACAGTACCTCCAGAAATTTGGATACTACCTCAACGATCACAAGGACACCAACCCCAACGTAGCCACGACGCACCAAAACGACGACGAATTCGATGAGCTCCTGGAGGCCGCAATCAAGCGATATCAACGAACTCATCGCATCCCCGTCTCAGGATCCTTGGACCGCGCCACGACGGCCCAATTGATTATCCCTAGGTGTGGCGTTTCAGACCATGATCTTGTTATGACCCTGGATTATTATGGGGACCAAAAGGATTACAGATTCTTCCGTGGCAAACCCAAGTGGAACAAGAACAACCTTCGATATAAGTTCGGACCCAAGAGCCGCCCTCCTGCCGGGTTGAAGGAACGCACCATCAAGGCAGCCGTGGACAAGGCGTTACAGAGCTGGAAGAATGTAACTGAATTCACGTTCGACTATGTTGCCAGTACTACAGCGCCGGCTGACCTGAAAATTTCATTTTTTTCTCGCGACCATGGAGACGGGGATCCATTTGAAGGGCCTGATGGGCACACGGCCCATGCGTTCGCGCCACGTTACGGAGAAGTCCATTATAACGCAGATTATAAATGGAGCAATTACCCAAGCCCAAAGGAAATGGATCTGCAATCCATTGCGGTGCATGAGATTGGACATGCATTAGGGCTTCGTCACAGCGACAATCAGGCAGCGATCATGTACCCTTACTTGAACCTCGGGCAAGTTAAGCGGGCATTGCAGAGGGCTGATATCGATGGCATCCGTGAACTCTACAACTTGCCTTCAAAGTAAAATGCAACGGTTAAACTGGGGATATGATCAGTATGGATTGGATGAATAACCAAAGATATATCACTCCTTAGGGAGGTCATCATATATTATTTCTATAGGCGTACTAAAATAAAAGAAGACGTAATCTTGTAAAATAATTCAATAAATGGTTGTCTCTCTAGCATGCATCATGTTGTTTGTTTGCATGGCTACGTACTCTCTAACGAGTCATATAATAAAATTGTATCATCTCACAAAAATCTATATTTCTTATCTTTCCATGGTAGTATACATGTTTTGATACGGTAGGAATATGTAGCTCTTGTGGCCTTTTCTACACACTCGATTATAATGGCTTGGATCGAGTAAGGTGATTGAATAACTCCGACTAAACTTCTGCATTTTCGCATCATATGTTCGTATTCTTTGCTTGAAGGTGAATTCTGCTCCATTTATGTGTTTATATATTTGACTTGGTTTGGTTCTGCACTACTACAAGAAGATGCATAATGGTCCTTGGAGGGAGAAGTTTGGAAATGCAAATAAAGTCCAGAGTTCCTTGAGAATACTTGAAGATCCTATAGAAAAACTTGTAAGTAGTTAGCTGTTTCATTTGAGATAATGAATATTGAGTGGATCTAATTATTATGCATGGTTCAAAATGTAAAGCTACTTGCATTAACAAGATTGAATGTACAAATATAATTTATTGTAATTTGTTCCCGTTGGTTTTCTATTACAGTAACAGGTTGCTCATTATTAATTTGTAAATGAGAAGGAACAAGAAAATAAAGTAGAAGAAGTACAGAGAATAAATACTTTCAGATTTCTCTTCGCTAAATCCATCGGCGACGGGATTATTCATAGCTAATAATATCACGTGCAACGGTGCAGGAAGTCGCTGGAAGTTTGTTGCGGTGAGCAATTTCGTCACCTAAAAATGTTTCAGCGATGAAATTTGTCGCGTGAAAACTGTATTCTTTAGCGACCGATCCCCAAAGTTCGTCGCAAAAGCTGCTGTTTCCTGAAGTGCGAGAAAAAGTAGTTTCCAACCGCGAGAAAAAGAACTAATTAAAATAGGATAAATGTCACATTTGGTTACTGAGATTACCAAATCGTGTCATGTTTAGTCATTAGAAAATTTTAATATCAATTTTGGTCACTCGAATTACTGATACAGTGATAGATCCTTGAAAGGAAGAAGGGAGTTGAGAGTAAGAATTAGGGATTGAGAAGAAGAATTTAGGGTTTGAGAGAATTGAGGAAGAACAGGAGAAAGATAGATTTAGGGATTTTGATATTCTTATTGCTTAATTCCAAATGAACGTACTGAACCCCTTTTTATGAGTTTCAGAGACCTAACAGGAAATAACAAAACAACCACTCAAACCCGGCCCAAGCGGCCGACCCAACCCTACCCGCTCACCCCCTCTCGGTGGTGGTTTCTATCATCCCCTTCCCCATCAGAAACGACCTTGCCCTCAAGGTCGAATGTCGGGAAACGCTGCCAGAGGGTCGCTGTCTCCTCCCAAGTAACATCCTCCTTCTCCATGTGCTGCCACAGAACCAAACTCTCCTCGATCAAGCGCCCGCCTTTCTTCATCCATCTGGTATCCAGGACCTGCAAAGGAGTCAACTCAAGATCACCATCCGCTGAGATCGATGGTGCAGTCATCTCCACCCGATCAGCCGCTCCCCTGTATCTCTTTAGTAGAGACACGTGGAAAGTAGAGTGGATACGCGCATCAGCTGGCAGCTGGAGATGATATTCCACCAGATTAATCTTCTGTAGTACCTTATAGGGCCCAAAGTATCGAGCCGCCAACTTCTAGTATGCCCGGCGGAAGACGAAAGCCTGTCTGTATGGATGTAATCAAAGCAGAACCCAATCGCCAACCTTGAACTCCTCGTGGCGTCCTGCATCGGCCAAATGCTTCATCTTGTTGTTGGCTGCCGCCAAATTGACCTTGAGTTGCTCCAAAGCCTCATCCCGAGCTCCTAGCCACCGGACTGGTGCCACTCTGATAGCGTACCATGGAGGGTGGCGGCCTCCCATACAGAGCCTCAAATAGTGTCATCTGGATCGCTCTATGGTAAGTAGAGTTATACCATAGCTCGACCCATGGTAACAGGGCCAACCAACGCCGCGACTGCTGGTGGGAAAAACAGCGCAAGTACTGCTCCAAGTAGCGGTTAACCACCTCCGTCTGACACCTCCTGCTCCTGCCAGAAGTGACTCAAGAAAATGGAGTCGCTGACAATGGACCTCGGGAACCCGTGGTGTCGTACTACCCCCATCACAAACTGCTCAGCCACTGACCGGGCGGTATACGGATGCGCTAGAGCCATGAAATGGGCGTATTTCGTCAGTCGATCAACGACGACGAAGAGGACAGTCTTCCCTCTGGAGGGTGGAAGCCCGACAATGAAATCCATACTGATGTCCTCCCACACCCGCTTGAGCACCGGTAACGGCTGCAGAAGACCCGCCGGTCGCAGATGAAACGCCTTGACCCTCTGACAGGTGTCACACGAAGCTACATAGTTCTTCACGTCCTAGCCCATCTGTGGCCAGTAAAACTGCGCCGGAATCCGCCGCAATGTCCGCTCGACCCCAGAATGCCCTACGAACAGAGAGTTATGGAACTCCTGCAACACGATCGTCACTAAGGAAGACCCCGGGGAAGCGCAAAGCGCCCTCGAAAAAACACCAGCCCCTGCCGAAAGGAATAATGACCTAGGGCTTCGTTGACTGCTATATCCCGACATCCCTGCAGATACACATCTGTCTCAGTAAGAGCTCGCAGGGAGGTTACAATATATTATCTCTATAGGCATACTAAAATAAAAGGAGGTGTAATCTTGTAGAATAAAATGGTTGTCTCTCTGGCATGCATGCTGTTTGTTTGCATGGCTACGTACTCTTTAACGAGTCATATAATAAAATTGTATCCTCTCAGAAAAATCTATATGTCTCATCTTTCCATGATAGTAGACATGTTTTGATACTGTAGTATGTACGTAGGCATATATAGCTCAGCTTTTGTGCCCTTTTGTGCACAATCTACTATGATGATCGGTTTGGAACCTGTGTTGTTTGATGGTCGAAGCCATGCATCTTGTATCAGCAATTCAGCATCCTCTGCTCTAAATTTCAGCCTTTGACAAATTGTGTTTTTTATTTATTGTGACAACTTTTTTTCTTCTTCTGTTCATTTTTCGTTGTTATACAACATTTCTCATTCCACAAGGATCATTAGGATGCCATCCTTTGATCCAATTCCAAAATATTCATACACAAAAAATGTTTTTCATGGGGTTGGTGGGAGATTGCATTGAGGACTTTTGTACAATACCTCTATCTGTCAAATTTTGACATAATAACTCGTTTGGAAAGGGAACCAATAACGAGAGATTTTAAAACTCCACCTAGTATGGATTCGAAATAGCTACCCTCAGCTATTAATTTATCCTTCACTCACCTCTTCTTCCTTGTTCCCTTTTTTTCCACCACGATCGAAGACAACATCATCCACCAAGAGTTCAGAAATGGAGGACGAGGATTGTATTTACTCTCTACAACCACTTTCTACTCCAGGAAATCCATAGTTGGGAGGAAACTGCATTTACTCTCCGGAAATGGATGGAGATGCCGTATCCGGATATACTAGCTCAGCTGGCAGCTGCCTATTCCGGTAGCTCCAGTGCCATGGTGAAATACAGAGCTTAGCTAAGCTCAGTGAGAAACCGTTTCTTTTGTTCTTCTATCACTTTCTTTAGTCGACATATGCAATCTTCATTTTGTTTTCAAGTGTAGACAACAATTTTACAGAACTACAAAAGTTTGTGATGTGAGGGAGACATCACTTCAATAACAACCACTAATAAGATGATGGTCTTGCTCTTTTTTTCTCTTTTTTTTTTCCTTAGTACATACAACAATTTTCATTCTACAAACAACGTTAGTATGCTATCCTTTCATCCAGTTACAAAATAGCCCAAAACCCCCCCCCCCCCCTTCTCCATGAGGTGAATGGAAGCCAAGAAGACAAAATAAGCCTACAAGGAAGAAAGTTAAAGCAACTGTGAAGGAGTTATGATCACAAACTAGAAACTTCTTTCAGCCCTGATCCCCGTTTGCCTGATCGATCTGGTTGTTAATGCGGAGTTGCCTCCTGTAGTCGTTGTAGTTTTCCTGGGGGTAGTTGACGTCACTGCGTAGCACAATCAAAGACAGAGGGAGAGGTTAGATAAACCTAAGTGAGTATTAGCCAAGAAAGGTATGGAAAGGGAGACAGAAGCGGCATACTTGATTGAAATTTTGAGGTAGCGGTTCTTGGCTTGTGCAATGACAAACGAGATAATCTCGTCTGCGTCACCTTGAGAGATGGTTTGGGGAGATTATATGTAACAACATGCCTAGAAACCCAACAACAAAACATATTATCTGGTCTAATCTTTGCTACCATTAAAATGTATGCAAAACATATAGAGCAACTCGCTCACCTTTCTGTATTATTATTCATAGGTTGTCTCGCGCCTGTAGCTGGAGTACTCCTAGCAGTCGCACCAGTGAATCTCCCAGCTTGAGTTGCATTACCAGATAGTCTGGTGGTGGCTTCTACTGAATTCGTCACCCTGGAAGGGCTTGTTGCTTCAGTTGAGCCAGCAGGGAAAAGAGTATTTTCCACTGCATTACCAGAAGAACCATCAGAATCAGTTCCCATAGAGAGCCCATTGTCTGATATATCACTTATTCTCTCATCAGAATCTCCGCTTCCTCCAAAATTGAAGAGCTCGACATCATCCTTGGAATTCTGGCTCGCCTTTGCTTCAGTAAACTTGGCTGGTAAATCTTTCTTTGGCCTGGAATGTGGTGCCGAAATCCCCCTACGTCCACGTTTTAACTCATCAATTGACGGCGGCAGTGACCGAGCATCATAAGGCTTTTCACCATACTCGGAGTATATGTCGATTTCCCTATCAGACAGTGGCGAGGTTTTCCTTCCCGGTGACTTGGGACTAAGCCGCAGATTCCCTACAACTGAGTATCTTCTTGGAGAGGAAACAAAACGGACAGACTTTGTGTCATTGGTGTTAATCTTGAGCTGCTGCAATCTCTCAATCACTTCGTCTTTCTTTGCGATGGTTTCTTTTAACGATGCAACCTACAACATTGATTTCAAGAGAAAAGGGTAAACACTCTTTGTACTTACGTTGTTGCACATGGTTTCATCAAAAGTTGGGAGGTAGGAAACCTGATCCACAAGTTCTCTAATGTCTCTTCCCTCCTTATTGCTCTTTGCAGCACCTAACTCCACTCCAGAAACTCTCTCGGCAAACTTCAACGTGCTCAAAGTCTCGGAATATGAATCAGGATCGGGATTCAACTGCACAAACATAAGGGTCTTAGCTTGACCACCTACAAAAATGTGAAAGTAGCAAAACAAAAAAGTCAATAACATGATATGCTAAAACAAATTTTGATTTGAAGGGTGAGAACAATTCAATGAGAGTTGAGAAAAACAAAATATTGCCTAGAGAACTCTGAAGAACTTGAGTAAGTTTGCTGTTCCGATATGGGACATGCTGACTTTTCTGTGCAAGGGCAAATATGACATCTCCAAGTGCAGAGAGTGACTTGTTTATGTGTTGTGCCTCCCTTAATCTCTCTCCAGTTACTTCAGACCGATCAACCCTTTCACTGCCGGCAAGATCTACCAAGTGTAGATTCCCTCGTAAGAGAGTGCCAGACTCCAAATCAACGCCACGGACATGGATGGTGATTATGCTGCAGAGAGTTTGATCTTGAGAAAATTCTCAATAGTAAATTTCTTGAGAATCAAATGTTAAATCTAACTATGATGTTCACAGAGGAAACCTGTGGGATCTGCTACTTCTTTCATTCAAAGCAGTGGCACTAACAGCACGGTTCATTAACCCAATATTCATCAATTCCAAGACATCTTCAGTTGAGGTTACTTGATGCATGCTGGCATCAGGGACAGCCAACCCATTTGGTTGGGTTGTGCTCCAAATCCCAAGTGTGTGGAAGTCAAAGAAAACATTTGACACATTTGGAAAATGTGTTTTATTCTAACAGAACATTCAAAACTACCCATTAAGTAAGAGTTCGAAGATAACCATGGAGCTGAAAACTAAGCTTGAGTCGGTTATCAACGAAAGTCAACTAAATCAACAAAAAGGATATCTTTTCTGAGAACCATGGCACGTGAGAAGGTCGCGAACTTGTTCATTGTATATCTCCACCATTTGAACACCTATCTCATATGTCATTGAGCCTTTTCGGTTTTGAGCAATGTGAAAAAGATCATGTAATGCTCGATAATTGACTCCCCAATCTTCCTTGGATGATATACTAGGACCGCTCTGGGAGACAGATGAGCAACATAAGATTTACAAAAAAAAAAAAAAACAGATTTTACGTTGTCCATATTTGAGAAAGTAAATATGCAATAGGGTGAAATATGAGTGACTAGCATACCATTGTATAGGTCTTTCCTGATCCAGTTTGACCATAAGCGAAAATACAAACATTGAATCCGTCAAGAACTGTTCTAATTAATGGTCGAGTATCCAAGAACACTTCCTCTGCCAACCAACACAATGTAGATCAGTTTATGAGAATCGAAGACGCTGACAATGCTTTAGAAAAGAGACAAGATTGTAGCATGATTTAACATAATCTCGATGAGGGAAAATTCTGACCTTGACTTGCAGCTTGGCCAAAAACCTTATTAAATTTGAATATCCTATTTTTATCTTTCCCTGGCTTTGTAGGATTTGAGACAAGTAGTTCACCATTTTCACCAATATGCTCTACAGTTGTTAGTTTCTTACATTGACCAGGCAGAAATGGGCGTACCCTACAATAAACTCTAATGTTTCCTGTGAAATGACACAAGAAACAACCATCAACAACAATTTGATCAAACAACAACTATGTGGATTTCAGGGTGAATGCTTATTTTAAAATCTTGTGTTGAAGAAGCCTTTTTTCAACATTTAAGTAAACAAACAAACCGAGTACAAAGTGTGTGAGATATATATACCTTTCAAGTCCTGCACTTCATTGTATAATTTTCGATTTTCCACAAGAACGGAATGATAATTATCAGCAGCATGCACTACTCCTTCAAGCTCCACTCCTACTCAGAATGGAAAGTAAATGCCTTGTGAGAAAATATTTGGTTTCTACCAAAACTGATCACCTAAACAAAACAAGATAACAAAACAGTAACCCCACCCAAGTCGTAGAACTCCTCTCCATATCTCTTCTTTGTCATCGTCACTTCTTGTTTGACGGAAGCATAAGCTGTTCTCAGTTCCTATCAGTACCAATACCACGTATTAAGACAATATACTTTGAAACTAGTAGAAAATAAAGTCTTCTGAAAGCAAACCTGTAAAGCTCTCTGGTGATTGTTGAGGAAAATCCGGAAGGTCTCTTCCTTCTTTTTCCATCCCTCTAATTTAGATTCCGAAAAAGACTCGAGTTGTTTCACCCTCTTATTTGAATCCATTAAATAGCACTCAAGATCGTGTGTCTTCTTTTCCAATGCTTGATTTGTTTCCTTAGCTTGGGTTTCTATCTGCAAGCAATGCTCTTCATGTATCCTCTTCAGTGTCTCCAGTTCGCGTTTCAGTGCGGAATTCTCGTTCTCTAAAGATCTTTTTTCTTCCTTCAAATTAGTCAGATCCTTTTCTTTGAGTCTCACCTTCTCTTCTATTCCAGTTTTATCCATCTGCACGAAACAAGGGCAATGCATAATAGATTATATCAACAAGATGATATGGGCGAGCAGACTCTACCATGTTAGCAAAGTTGTTTCCCTTGTAACATTTTTTATAACAAGTTTGATATCGCTGCTTAAAACAAAAGGTTTGGCTATTATATTGTAGTCACCCTATTATTAATTAGAAAAGAAAGAAAATATAAAGCAACGAAGAAGATCGCATAACACAATAAGAGCAAAAAATCCAACACAACCAACTAATAAGACGCTACAAAACGAGACTCATCACAACTCTCACAATCCCAACACACCCATCATTCTAAAGCTTAAAACTCGGAAAAAGAGGCTCATCTCAACTCTCACAATCCCAACACACCCGTCGTTCTAAAGCCAAAAAGTCTGAAAAATACCCCCTCAACTTTCACTTGTTACTTACCAAAACAGAATGATTATAAGAGATTTCAAAGAACTTGTTATTGAGTCTAAATATATTCATTTCATAATGATCTAATCACTTTTAGCCCAACACAAATAACACATTTACAATTGGAGTAGTGATGCCTAGTCTTTGCAATGGAATAGGTGTGACGGAAAGATCTTTCCATTTACAACACTCTGTAAGAAACAAAAGGGTTCCAGATTGTCTTTCTTCTCTTTTACTGAAACAACCATATATAAATTGTATGACCATGAGAAAGCCAGAGCATGGCAATGCAAGATCTTATAGCAAAAATCGCATACAGTTGAACAATGAATACCATTTGTAAGAACATAAGATTACGCTAAAGCAAAAGGATTGGGATGTAAGGTCAAACCTTTATCTGTTTCAAGTGTGAAAACAAAGCCTGTGTCAAGACAACAATTAACAAAAAAACATTAGGCAACATAACCTTGGACAAATAAACAAAACAGAAACATCCTTTGCAGCAAACTCACCTCAATTTCTTCTGTGCTCCATGAAGCAAGGGTCTCTAATACCTTTAATCTAGATTGGTACTTTCCAGAGCAAACACTACAAAGATTGTTTTGCTAGAAACACAAAAAATCAACATTGATATGCCAAGGAAATTCACAAATGAAGTATACTCACTAATGCTTCTTTTAACAAAAACATATGCAGTAGTGTATCAAAAGAAAAGGCATAGCATGGTGCATGCACAAACACAAATGGTGATAAGAACAAAGAATCGGAATTTTCAAGGGTATTACATCTTTCAAGTTCTCAACTTGAGCATACACTCTTTGTTCAATAACTTGCACCACTTGCTTTAACATCCTTGCCATATGTGTCTGAAGAGGATCCAAATGATACTGGGATAAATACAAAAAACTACAGAAGGAGAATTGATGAAAGAAATATATGACAACGAAGTAGATACCAATGATGAACATATGAAGAAAAGTAGGTATTATTTATGAACATAAGAAGAAAAACCGTGAATATCTCACAATCGTACATGATAAGCATGCTCATCCTTTTTGTCAATGCTTTCATCAAGTATCTGGTTTAGAAAACGGAAAAGCACGTGGGTTGATGCATTCTGCCATAGAAAATTGCATCACCACATGAGAGCAACGTAAATCTTGGAACAAATGCCAAAGAATAGGCCTAATTCAATATTGAGATGCCTTATACTGGGACACACAAAAGCCAAATAGGGAAGAGTTAAGCAACTTACATCCACACTAATTGACTTTATTAGATCTTTAATGTTATCATCCAAAAACTCAGCGTAGAAACCTTGCTTCAACATCTCAGACAATTTGTTTCCCGCATCAAGTAGCAAAAAAGGAGACGACTCTAAAAGAGAAGTCACCACAAACAAAAACCAAGGATGATTTTGTACATGAGTAGCTCCATCTTCAAACATAAACACAAATGATCTTCATATAGATAAAGACAAAACGATGGTAACAACAATGCACGAACCACAAATAATGTCACAAGAAAAAAATACGGGAGTCAAAGGCTTGTCAAAGACTCATTGGACGAACTAAAAAGATCACCCAACCACCAAGATAGATTACACCCCGACTCCTGCCTGATACAAGACCATAGAGTTACAGAGTGAATAGGAAGTTACTACATGCATGTGATTTTGGAGCAAAGTGGATCGGGCTATGAAATTATTGCAAATGGTCAACAAACAGCCGATGATGGCAACTCTTACAGGATTCAAGTTCATCATCAGTATCATATATCATAAGAAAAAGAGTGATTCAAGTACCTGATGAAACAGAACTTATAAGACCATGTTGATATGTATCTTTATTGGGATTCTTTTTCTTGTCTTCACCATTAACAACAAAATTATCCAAGTTTAATGATGATCCATGTTGTGACTGATCAACTCTGTTAGAAAGCTCCACCTCACGTACTTCCCATCTCTTTCTTGAATAAATATCTGCATTTTCTAAATGCTCCTTAAGTGTCCCAAGGCACTGCAGTACAGGCAACATGTAACCCTGGAAATAGCACTCATGAATTAGCAAAACCAATTCCAAATCATAATTTATGTTCTTTAGAATGTAAACTAAAGTTCCATAGAATCCATTGTTAAAAGTCTCTATGTGCATCTTCTCGTGCTTCTAGTTTCTGCTTCAAGGAGGAAATTGGTTGCTGGTACATTCATTACTCAACTACCAAACCAACATATCTAGAAGCCTTGGTTTAGCAAGTAAATGCATCTTCCACCAAGAAAAAAAGTGCACTAAGTTACTGATAAGAACAGCTCCAAACTCACTATCACCTTATGCCACATGATCAAGGTTGAAGTGGCTCCGGAATGCTAACAAGTTCATCAAGCGAAACGTCCAAAGCATATAAAAGGAAGTCAGAAATCCAACACGAACAGCTCTGTTCAACTCCGTTATGGTAAATCTCCATACCTGTTGTATGTCTTCAAGTACAAACCTAAGAAGGCCCATTTCATCCATTGCATCCAGAAACCTCTTGAGATAGTCGGCACTAGGCCTGAAACCGGTTCTCTTTCGTAGTTTCAAAAGTGAAAAGAGAAATACTAGTTGTTCAGACCCACAGAGTAAGTGGACATATTTATAATGGGGAAAAGCACACACATCTTTACCATGTCAATCACACCAGGTCTCAATTTGTTCAGGATGCTGCAGAAGATAGTGCCATCAATCAAGCAGTCTCTCAGCTCCTCCTCGGTTGTCTCCGACGGTAAATTCAAGTATGGAAACAAATTGTTCAACCACTCAACCAGTGACTTGACACTACCTGAGGCCAAACCAGATTTTTCCCAAACTCAATTCTGCCCCAAACAAGAGAGCAAATTTAAACCACCACCAAATTGAAGGAGATGTTTAGTGGTTCGCTGCTCTTACCATAACCATTATCTTCAAACCTTGGTTCTTTTGGACGTGCTATACTTCCAAATCTGGCATATATTCCCATCTCATTTCTCTTCCTTTGAGGTTGAACATTCATCTTCCCCCACACTTCTTTTCTTTCGTGTTCACAAGTCCCGGTGACACAATGCTACAAATAGATAGAAAACATAAATCCATTAGCTGACAATTAGAAGTTGAATTCTTCCGCAAAAAAAAAAAAAAAAAAAAAACTAGCTCCTTTCTATCTTGAAAACATGAAAGCAAGCCCTGATTACTAGAAACCATTGATTCGGCAAACCGACAACCTAATTTTAAGATGAAACAAATTGGCCAAGAACTAGAAGAGTGTGCCAGAATCCAAGTGTACATATTATAATACGGAGCGCGACTATAGAGGTTTACTTGGTGGTCGGCCCGTCAAACTGAATTCAACAAAAAGAACTTGCTGGGTTTGATGTTGGGCTAGGTGGGCTCTGTAGCAAAGGTGACAGCGATAGCAGTGAATGCCCGATGAGCGCGCCAAAACGGAACTCAAATAGACAATTCCCTCCATTAAAAAAATCCAAAATTCCTTGGAAATAAATCATGCAACTACTGAATATATGAAAAGTAAACATTTCAAAGGAAGTTCAGCTCGACACGTGAAGAAGAAGAATTACTTAATAATGCCCAGAAACATAATAATAAAAAATCAACAACTATTAAGTTTGTCTTTCGAGGGTTATCAAACAAGAAAAGAAGAGAAGAGGGGGGGGGGGGACAAAGAGCACGGTCAACAAAATAAAATAAAAACTAAATAAATTCTTCAAAATTTCTGTCATTGCCCTCAATTAGCAAAAGGGAAGACACCAACATAACTCTCCTCTTCCCGCATATCCGCACCAACCCTAACTCTTCCAACTAGCAGCTTAAATTAAATGGGAGAAATAGGGAAATGCAATTGCGGACAGAAAAATGGCGAACAAACCTTGGAACATGAAGATCAATAGAAGACGAGGATGGGGAAGGCAGGTCCCGAAAAACAACCATACCCAGCCTCCATCGTTGCAATTGTATGTTCTTGCAATGATGAAAACGAAACAACGAAGAATATCCTTTTACTTTTCCCTTTTTCTCTATCTATTCCACTTCCCTCTCCTCTTTTGTAATTTCTCTTTTATTTCCCTCGATTTTCTTTTCTTTTTCCTCTCTGTTGCTACAGAGAGAGAAAAGAAAAGGAAATAAAAGGAAATTGAAAAGGGGAGAAAACAAAACTTTATTTTTTTGTGCCTTCTTCTTCCCCTCTTTGCCTGGCTTGGTGGCGTCTTCTTCTTTCTTCCGCTTAGTTGGGGGAGGGAGAGGCATTTTCTCTTCTTCATCTTATTTTGTTGTTTTGTTTTGCTTTTTTTAACTATTATCAGTTTTGTTTTGTGTTTTGTTTTTCAGTATTTTTATTATATTCCTACATAAATAGCTGAGGGATTCAAATTTGGAATTAGCAAAATGAGTATTTCGCCCCACTCCGCTAATTTTGGAGAAAGTTCCCACCTTCTACCCTAATTAAATCAACCTAATTAAGTCAAAATACAATTTATAGTTGAGCGAAGCACACCTAATAGCAAAAACATGTTTGTCTAATGAAAATGAGTGCACTATAAAAGTCAGATAATCAACTACGTAATTGGTCTCTCTGTATGCTCTATCTGGAACTACCAATCACTTTATATATACTCATTATTTCTTCATTATTGTTCTTAATTGAAAAATAATAATTTCATGTGGAAAATTTGTATTTTGTGGAAAATATTAATATTTAAGTTACAATATGTTGACCGGGTGGTGACATGGTGGCCTGTGGGTTGACCGTTAGTCCACGGTCTTGACCGTCCAACATAACGGTCCACTCTTTTGGCCAATTAAGTAAAGATAGAGTTAGTTCAAACATTATGTTATTGAAAAGATTGGTCATGATGTTAAAAATGAAAAAAGTTTGGGTCGGAAAAAAATGTTAGGCTTATATTATATACATGTCATTGATGGTCTCTAATCAAACTATTTTCTAAGCTATCTAATGGGCGTTGCCCTAAGGCAATTTTTCCAATAGCCAGAGCTTCTAATAATATTTTAATCCTCCACGTTCATGTGGTAAGGTGAAAATGAGCAAAAGAGTTCTCCAAAGCCTTTCACACTAGGAGTGGAGGTGCCCTCAACAAGAATAATCGCTTATTATATGACATGTTTCAGTAATTCAAGTAACTAAAATTGATATTAAATTTTTATAGTAACTAAAAATGTCTAAGATTTAATAATCACATTACCCATAAAAAAATAATCTTCAAATTCTGGCATAATAGATCAAATAAACAGAGGACACCTCCTTCCCGACTGAAACAAAGCTTTTGAAGGGCATCGTCACCCATTCTTCGGCGCGTAAAAAGTTCGGTGCATCAACGTGGGCGATGGGAGGCAAAGGCGACAGCGGCAGCAGTGAAGGCGGAGAAGCAGTCACGGGGCACCCGGAGCTGGGAGGATCGTCCACTGGTTCGGAATTGCCCGATGAGCGCGCCGGGCCGGAACTGAATCAGAGGGAGATAGTTAAGGCTGTGGAAGTCGTGGAGAAGGATTCCCTGGCCATCGCGGAGAGCTTCACCTCTCTTTTCTCCTCGCTCCGATCAGCGCTCTCTGAGGTTGCCTGGTTTCTCTCACTTTTCATTGATTTTAATTTTGTTTCCGTTTTTTTTGTTTCGCTTTTCCCTGTCTGGTTCCAAGGAAGGAAAGCGGGAACTGAAAATGAACTTTTGGATTACTTTGTGAAGGCTACGAGCAGTTCCATCGATCATATGCACTGCTTTGGTGATGCCACTGGCCGCCTTCAAGAGTCCGGTAAACTGCAGCTGGTTTCTGATTTCTTGTTCAATTGATTGTTGCGTTCTCGGAACTTTTTTGTTCAATTGATTGTTTTGTGGGCAGTTCTGGATGCAGCTACAAAGGGTAACCGCTACATTAATTCAAGTCTCAGGTACTTTCGAACTGTGCTGATTGGAATCTGTTTGAGAAATTTCGTAGTTTCGAGTGGAACATACAAAGTCGTAGTTTGCCATGAATGTTGGATATGTGTACACAATTGAGGCCTGCCATTGTCCTATTCATAAAATTTCTGATGTGGTTCGAGTTCGTTTAGATGAAAAAGTGGTACGAATGAAGATCTTTTTAGAATCCATCGATTCCTCTTGTAGTTTCAGCCATTTTAGCTGGCACTTTAGACTTTCGAGTCCAGTTTTTGACAGCTGATACATGGCTTTCAAAATGGTGCTAATGCCTATTCCCAGTTATCGAATCTAGAGTTTTGACATGAACGAGTTTGTTACTAGGAAGTAGGCTTTTCATATTACTGCTTTGGGAACTCCAGTTAGTAGGCTGTTTTAGAAAATAGAAACATTCAAAAAATTTGTTATATCAATATGACAGTGACTGTGTTAACATTTAAGATGCTTTTCAATCTCAGTCTGACACTTTTGGAGTTCATTGGCAGGTTAAACGAGGAACTAAAGGGCATTGAAACATTGGCTGCTCAATTGTATCCTTTTTGCTCTTCTTTACATGCCTCCAGGCCATTTGCCTTGGCAGAAAGACTAGGCCTCTTCTTCAGTTCATCCTTTTACAATATGATGGTTGAGCATATGAGTTGGCAATCTTGCTTTGCGATAAATGATCTGCTTGGGCAGCATTAAAACCATACATTACCTGAATAAAGCTGACTAATTCCTTCTTTAGTTGTCTTTGCTTTTCCTTAAGTCCATGTGAAGGAAATTTCTGAGAAGAAATGTGGATGCTCTGGACTCGGCGGTGAACAAGCTCATACGGCTTCCATAATTGTAAACTGTCTGCTCGCGGGCAGCAACTAGAGAGCAGCTTCATCTGGGTTTGAAGGAGCCCCGTCCAGTTGTCAAGGTTTCAACGAGGAAAACTTGTAGGTGATTAAATTCGTAGATGGTTGCAGTTATATTATTGAGAAATAACTGCCACTCTGTCGTTGGAATTTGTTTTCTGAACCCCTCTTTTGAGCAATAGAATAGCAAATAGCAACTACTATCTATGCAACTCCTCTGGATATTCAGGATGCCTTTGTGTAACGGTGTGATTCTTGTTTAATAGTTTAGGTCCACTGGTCTTCTAACATGTTTGATCCCTAGTTAGCTTGGGTAAGAAGTCCATCTAGGAACTGCTAACCGGTCCATCCACGACCATGTTAGAAGTTCATTAAACCAGGAGAACTAAGCAGTGAAGTTCATTTTGTAGTTAACTTTTCAAATATACCCTATAGTATACAATCCGGCGGTTGAACTTTGGTAATATGAACTACGAAACGATTGGTTGTGGTCTGTTATCACTATTAAAAGCCAGGTTATCATTTATCTGTTGACTTATCTGAAAGCAATGTACTTGATTATGTAGTTATGGTATTTGATTGTTTGAATTTTCACATTACTAGACTGTTTGGGTTAGATGAACCTAAATGAAAAAAACAGACTTCCTTGCTTTAGCTTTCACAAGTTCTTACGGTGTCAGGAGATGCCAACTCTGGAAGGAACTTACTCGGAAGAGAAGAGATAAGGGTCTAGAAATAGCAATAAGACAGCACATGGCAGATTGGTCTGGGGCTTGCATGCCGATTCATGACCGGCTGGGTTCAATCCTGACTCAAATGAACTGCTTCACCACTCATCTGATCTTGCTTATATCTATTATTATTACTTCTGATGTCCTAGATAAAAAAAAAAACCATGATGTCTGTCGGTACTATTACTATATGGTCGTGGTCCCTTCCCTATTGAATCTGCATCTACATTGTACATCCTTCCCCTTGGCTCATTGGTGCAGAGAAGGAAGCTGGTCCCGTGAGCAACCAGAGTATCTCCTACAATCCTGCAATTTTACAGCCTCTGAATTTCCTATGGCTCGAGTTCTGCAGGCTCTCATCACAAGGCGTGTCCTTTGGCTTCGACAAAGAACTTGGAAGGTTCGGTACAAAATGTTGAACTTATGCATCTTTAGTTTGTCTCTTCTCTATCGTTCTTCATTCAATATATCATCTCTGCGTGAAGATATTGACCTGGGGGAACTTTTTTCCAAACAAGCAGGGATGGTTTAGTAGTTAGTTATATGTGGTGGAAACTAGATCCACATTTAGGGAGTTGATTGAATGGAGGGGGAAGTGGGTTGTCGTTGTTGTTGTCATATGTTGGTTTGTTGATCTGAACAAGTAGATTGTGACAGGCTGGTGACTATCTTGTTTTGAGCAAGTAGAGAATGAAACATAGGAAGTTGATGGTGGAAGATGAACCAAAGTAGACACAAGTTTTAGAGGGAAAGACAATCAATAAACTTTTCGAGTGGTCCATAATGTGTGGAAGGGGAGTGTGGGGTTTTTTTTCTTCTTCTTGTTTGTATGAGTTTAATAGCTTCTGTCTGCTGTCTCTAACTCTCTCTACCACAAGTCTTTCTGTTCATGTTTGCTGTTGGCATTATTCATCTCTTTTCTCAAATGGTCAGCAGCAGCAAGAATTACAAGTTCCAGAATTTAGCCCCTTCCATCTCTGTTTTTTTTCCCCATTTTCTGAACTATGCTCAGGTTTGTCTTTGTGCTAAGGTTTTGTTGGATGGTAGAATCAGATCCTGAGACCTGTGTGAATGAAGAAGCTCTTAACATCCAACCACCAAAATGTCACGATGTCTCATTCTTTCCCTTTCCTGGTTTGTGTTAAGAGCTGGATCCGTTTAGTCGGATTGTGATTAGTTAAGCTGATCCTCCTGTCAGAAACATAATTATTGAGAGTTTATTTGTTATTTCATATTATTCGGATATTGTCGGATAGGAGAGTTATGGGGATTCATTCGGTTAGGTTAATTATTCGGGTAGTAAACAGTAATTAGTCGGGTTATATATATATGATGTTCTGTTAGGTCATGGGTAAGCAATAATACAGAATTGTTCCCAACTCTCTCTCTCTCTCATCTCACCCTAGCCGAACCCTTCCCCTCTCCCTCTCAACTCGGCGGCTCCCATCCCGGGAACCGATTCTGCTCTCTCTCTCATCCCAAATTCCCCTTCTTCCTCACCTAAATTCCCAATCCCTAATTCGTTTAATCCCTAATTCGCACGCCTAGATCCGTGGTTCTCCCAATTGGTATCAGAGCCTGGCTGGCGTGCTGATTACTGAGCTACAGGAATTGATATGTCAAACATGGACAAATCGCAACAGCCGAGGCAAGGTCAGGAGATCGTGACCGTGAAGGACATCACGAATAACAAGTACGACGCTGTTGTGACA